CTCTGTGTGTGTGAGTGAAGGGTGCTGTGTGTGTGTGTGTGTGTGTGTGTGAGAAAGGTGCAGTGTGTTTATGAGGGGGCAGTGTGTGTGTGTCTGAGGTGCAGTGTGTGTGTGTGAAGGGGCAGTGTGTGTGTCTGAGGTGCAGTGTGTGTGAGGGGGGCAGGGTGTGTGAGGGGGTGCAGTATGTGTGTGAGAGAGGAGCTGTGTGTGTATGTGAAGGGTGCATTGTGCATGAGGGGAAGGTGTGTGTGAGGGGGCAGTGTGTGTGTGTGAGGGGACAGTGTGTGTGATGGGTGCAGTGTGGTATAGTGTGTGTGATGGGTGCAGTGTGTGTGTGAGAGAGAGGGCAGTATGTGTGAGGAAGCAGTCTGTGTGTGTGAGGGGTGTATAGGGTGTATGCTTTGTATAGGTGGGTAAGATGTGAAAATCTATCTTAATGTCCCTCCCCGCCTTCCTCTTACCTTTTACCAGGGAGGGGGGACATAATGCTGAAGGTGGCATGTTCATTTGCCTGCAACTCCTCTGGCTGCAGGCTGACTCTCCTGTCCTCCTGCGAGCACAGCACTGATCTCCTCACCAGTCCGAGAGGGCTTACAGCAAGACTTGCTCTGCATGGGCCAGCAGGGGTGATGAAAGGATCTACTCTGCCGGCCTTGGTCCATGGCCATCAAAGCCCACTGGGCGTTTTCTGCAGTACCCACCACCTTAAATCTCAAAACACCCACAAGTGGGCGGTAGGGACCGGGATGACTACCCATGACCTATTCTAGAGGATCAATCCATTCATGGTGGATGTAATTAAACATTCCTTTATTTGTAGTTATTGATAACAGAATTTAAAAAGTGTTTAAAACCGAGCCTAACTTTTGCCATGGTAGTTAATTGCACCATCTCCTGGTCAATATGCTGAGATCTCAGGGAAAATGACAAACAAAATTGAGAATTAGCAGGCTTTGTCATTAAATTACAGATTGTAGGTTATTGACAGCCAATTAGATAACCACATATATATCATACACCTTAGGTGCTTTGATTGGCACTAGAAACCTACAGTAGCTAAAGTATCTACAGTAAGTGATCTTCTGGGATGAAAAGAAGGATAATGGATAGGAGTAAAGTTAGGAGTATGAAAGAGGTAGTTTATGAAGTGTTTTTGGCTGTTGAATATAATATGGGAAACATAGATCTGTTAATGTATTAATAAATCTTCTCCAGATTGATAATGATGGCTTATGCTTAAAAGGAAACTTTAGTGCTAAGAATACAAAGTTGTATTCCTACCAGTAGAGTGCCCTATAGTCGTCCTGTCCCCCCACAGCTTTGAAAGGGTTACAAAATGCCTAATGCGCATGTGCGGCAAGCCACACAATCACATTAGGACTAAAACATAGGAAATCATTGAATCATAGATTTCCTTTGGGGTTTTAGCTGACGTGAGGACGTCCAGCATCAGTTATGTGACCAAAGTCGCCTAATGACTCAGAGGTGTCTTTAGTGGCTGTCTGAGAGACAGCCACTAGAGGTGGAGTTCACCCTGCAAGGTAATTATTGAAGTTGATCAGAAACTGCAATAATTACAATCGCAAGGTTAAACTGACAGGAACACTGCACGCCCACCATTTTCAAGTGATCTGGGAGTGTCCCTTTAACTGCTTAGTGTAATCTATAGGATCATTTTTGCCAAACTGAAAATGCCCAAAAAAATTTGTCAAAAATATCAGCTCATTGTTAGTTAAATGAAAAACCATAGATTGTGATCAAGGCTATATTTTATCTTACATGTTATTTTTAAAATAGCACTGCAATTAGACATGTTTCTGTAACAGGATGAATTATTTACAATGTATCACAGCATAGCGCATTATCCCCAGTGATTTCTTAGTGACAAGAGGCACAGGCACAATATTTGTAATCCTGGCCAGTGGGTGATATATTTTATTACGTGCTCGCTGTACCAGCAGCTAAATCATGAGAATGTCAAGTTTAATCACTTGATTTTTCTGGCTGGCTGTGATCAGAGCAACGTGTGTTGCTATCGCGAAATCCCATAGCAACCATTTATATTCAGCAAATTACCATTTCTAGAGCTCCTTGTCCTTTCTTCTAACTGTAAATGAACCATACTGATCCTGTTCCAGAATGGTGAATATCTCACAGGAGACGTGGATCTTCACTCATTACCATCAATAAATATTGTATACAGCACAAAGAATCCATGCCTGAACACACAAACCTATGATACATCAGTAACTGCATAGTACTCCCATCACACAGTCATGGTATGATGGCAGTTGTCATGCACATGCAATAACATGATGGGCATTGTAGTCTGCAGCAGGTGATGGGATAAGAGAGACTTATACCTATGCCATAAGATGAACGTGTGGAATCCAAATACCTTATAGGGTACGGGGTAATACAATTCATCATTCAAAATTGTGACCTTCGGTAAAAGCATCAATTCCTTTTGTCATTACCTGTTCCAGATCTTGTGTCATATGGCCAGTTGGTGTACGCGATCATTAAAGGAAAACTATAGTGTTAAGAATGCAAACGTGTATTCCAAACACTGTAGGGGGTTATACTCCTTATTTAGATTCATGGCTCCCCTATATTTAATTCAAAAAAAAGTTTTACTTATCCTTTTTCCAGCACCAAGACCTATTCCGTGCAGCCACCCGGTCCTCTTCCAGGAGAGTGTCTCTTCTTCATCCTGTTATCAAATCATATTCTTCTCGTAGCACTTGGTTGGATACGTAGACGAAGAAGAACGTTCGACATCATCATGCAACATGCGAGGATGCCGAATGTCACAGAACAGAGTCTAAACCGGTCAAAGCAGAAACATCCTCTAACGGCTGTAAGGAAGACGACCGCTAGAGGAGTGTATAGCCCTACAAAGAAAACATTTCATAACTACTAAACGACAATGGTTTACATTGCAGGGTGAATATGATAGGGCCACTACACACAAACCAGAAGTGGTCTGAGTGCCTATATATTTGTTCTGTAAAAAAAAAACAATAAATTACCATACCAGAAAAGTAGAGACAGCTTAGACTCTATTCAGAGCAAATTATCAAAAGTCATGTATCATTTCTTCATTTATGCTCTCTTTATTGTGAGCAAATCCTGAATGTATTAAAAAAACAAAATTACATAACATTTTACAGTACTTTCTCTTTCAAAAGATTATCTATTCCATGAACAAAGTAAATAAAATGTTTAATACGGTTTTTATACTTACACCATTATAAAGCAATTGACTAAATGCAACTATGTCAAAAGAAGTTCAATCTATTACATAATGTATTTTCTCTATTTGTAAGCTTAACTAGTTAAAGTACATTGCATAGCCTATTATACTGCATGGTTTATTCGATAATCAGTCCTTTGTGAAGAATTTGAAAACTGAATTGAGAAAAGTAGAATAGAAAATTCACACTCACTGAATTTTCTATTCTTTTTTTATTATATTAAATGTTATTGATCTTCAAAATGACGTGACGGATACAGGAAGAAAAATAGGAGAGTTAACACATTAATAATACATCATTTTCATTTCTAAGCGTTTTTGTTGCTGTTGTCTAACAATTGTAATAATTCAAATTTGAAGTGAGGTAATCTCTAATCTGGTGTGGTACAGATATATTACAGATTATTTACTCCAAAACTTTGGAAATTGACAAAGCAATTGGGAATATTTCACATATTTTTATAAATGTAATATCCAAAATTGGAAAAAGGATCTAATCATCTATTTTTGCTTGAAATTGGAAACTCTAATAAATACTCAGCAATTCTAGTTTTAGTGGATTATCCTAACTGACCAAAACTGCATTGCTCAAACCACCAGCACAGAGATGGTTAAAACATACCTTCCAAGATATGGCAATTTGTTTTTTGATGAGGATTAAATTAATGCTCTTGGTTTCAATAATTAGATACAAATGAGTGTCTACCTGTGTCTCCTCGTAATGACAAGGGCACAATATAAACCTTAACTGCCTGTAACTGGGATACAAAGTATACAGCGATTCCATATCCTCACTTTGTGTATAGCACCAATTGATTATGAACAATTTATTGTATATCTTTAACAAGACTGTGGTTTTACCCTGTCTTCAATATCCTGGCTTTAGCTGTTTTGGGTCCCCACAGCAAAACCATAGAAACTGATGAAATGATGGCCTGGTTACAGTTTTATTGCAGCACAAAAGAAAGTTATGGGGTCCATCTAAGCACCTTAACAATTATATTTATCTTAAAGATGGTTAGAGAGTACACGTATGTGCTGTATGTGCTGAATGTATAGGAGTTAATTATTGGTGAAGTGTAACTTCATTGATTCCCACTTTCAATAAGGTGAGCATTCCTTCCCCCAACGAGTAAGTGTGAGCATTCACATGGGATGTTAGGTGGTGGAGGTGGTTTCAACTGTACTTCATGCTGGTCTGATTTTTGTCGGTAAAGCTTTTATATTCGTACTGAATGATTTTTGATGACTGAATTCTCGAATATGCAACTTATGACATAATTAGATAGTACTTGCACCAACTCTCCCTGCTCAGAGTACTATAACTGCAGTCATCTGAAACACCACTTCTGCTTTAAGCCTGTTTCTAGGCTGTGTGATGTCAGAGGAGAAATGTTTCATCCTTCTGTCCTGTGTCTGATCTATTTCACGTGAGTATGTGGAGTGTACATGCCAAGCACTTTGATAATCCTCTCTCTCCTCGTCAGCTCTGCACCGTATCACTTGGGAGGTCATTATGAAGAGCCGGGTTCATCACACTGGAAACCTATGTGTATTTATTATTATTATAATGTATATAGCGCACCCATATTCCTCAGCTCTTCACTATTTTAGAAAGGGGTTTATTACAGGTAAAGAAGGCCCTGTTTAAATGAGCTTACAATCTATGATTAAACACTGCTAAAATGAACAGGACAGACTGATCAAAATAACAGGAGCTGATATTTAGAGAGAACAGAAAAATAAAACAAAATAAATACGTAACGTGCAATCAAAATACTATTGCAATAGAAATATCCCTTAGATCCGACATAAAAAACCCATACGTGAATATAAAAACAATAGAATTGCAAATCAGTATAAAGAAATGTAACATTGAAGTTCGCTTTATATAAATCACTATGGTCCAGAGAAAAAAAAAAGGAAAAAAAAGTATTTTGAAGACTTTCCTCAAGTTTTGTATCAAAAAAGTTTCAAATGCCACATGATAGATACACTTGTGGTTGAAGTCTAGCACTTCTTGCTAAATAATATAGTACTCTGTCAAGCAAATGAATACATGGAACATGCAGTGTACTCAGTAGAAATATCATATTTAATCATGAATGAGAATAGTAGATTCGGCATCAACAAAACAATATAGTAATAAGAGGGAGCGCCTTTCAGGGAACACTGTCCCTCCAAATGACCAGCTGCAGCTTTGATCCCCTCTGTACCGTCTGAGAAAACAGGAGAGGATCGGGAGCGAAGCAGTCCCTTCGGTCCTAGCCTGTAATCATTTATATAAAGTGAACTTCAGTTTTCCATTTACTAATATTGATTTGCAATGCTACTGCTTTTATATTTATATATGGTTTTTTTATGTCAGAATTTTAAGGAAAACTATAGGATCAGGAACACAAACATGTATTCCTGACCCTATACTGTAAGAGACACTATCTAGCCCCCTGACTCTCCTTGCATCTCTAAATATAGTAAAAGAGACTGCAGCACTGCCCCAGGAAGCACCTCTAGTAGCCATCGGAGGAGTGGCCACTGGTGGTATCCCTAAGCTGTTATGTAAACATGGCATTTTCTCTGATCCAATAAGTAGCTTTTTCTTTTGTACAGTCTTATAGGTTATTTTCTTTTCTTAAAAAGTATTGGTATTACCATTGTAACCAAAAGAAATGTAAAGAGTGCAGGTCTCGGAGATGTCATTTTGGACTTCTACAGTCCAAACGTACCCCGTCCATCTCTGTAGCTATAGAGATGGCAGGTTGTGACTGTGCAAACAAAATAGGAGACTGTGGAGCTCACCACATATTCTAATTTAACATTTTGAGTGAGATGCCATGCTCATTCATCTGAAACAAAAGGTTAAACCACTATACCCATATGCTGAGAGGTGTAACACATTAGTATGTGGATCTACTAGCACGGAAATTCTGTCAAAATGACACGTGCTTTGGAAGAAATGACTCTTATCGTGCTGACCCCAAAACACATTTTGATTAAAGAAAAAAAAAAAAAGCTTCACATTGCAAGAAAAGAGAACTCCTCAGTTATAGCAGTTTAGCCTTCACTCAAACAGAGGCTAGGTTTATTTTAGCTAGGTACATAAAAGTGCAGTTTTGTGTAAAACACTAAGTTAAAGACATTGCTTCAATCTTCATTACACACGCAAGAATGGGCAACCCTCACTGCCAACTAGGCATAGCAACTAGACATATCTATACAAGAAAAAGACAGCTAGTCCACAGGTGCAATGGATTAAAATACAAGATCCTGCAATGAATGAAGTATGCACCGAGCCTCTTTAAATGTTCCTATTCATAAATATGTACTAAACAATTACAGGCACTTAAAATGTCTATGGTTGGATCGAACCAACGTTGCAAGGATGTGTGTTCTTCTCTCCTCTTCAGAAGAACGCAAGACACATTCTGTTGGTGGGGTCAACAGGCTATGACTCCAGTTGCATCTATTCAAGATAGAGTTGAGTCAAGAAGGTGGGTATCTGGAGCTGGCCTGTATTTCCAAACAATTAGGATTAAGAGCTCTATACCTATGTATGTGTTCTTTATGCCCCTAGTATGTACAGTAGTTAAATTAATTCTATGTGGGTTGTGCCTGAGGCGAGTATAGGCGGTGGTGAAGATTTTGTACCACAGAGTGGCATTGCTGTATGTTTCAGGAATGCAATGCGGCGGCTGAAGTGTAACTGGAAACACGCTGCTCGCTGCCGTGACGGTCATCCATGTGGTAAATCCCACCTGCTCACAGCACCCGTGGAGTATACAGTCATCGGAGTTCCATGCAGCTGGCAGAGTGAAAATAATGTTCATCTCCTCATGGGAGTCTCTGCCTGAAAGACCAATTTGGTGGCCAAAAATTGTGGAGCTCAGGTGTGTTACGTTTTGAGATAACCCTCCAAAGAGCTTTAAAGGATCCAAACTCAGTGTAACGGCTACAGAGATATTTATGGGTCCAGAATCTTCTAATGCCTGTGGTGTCTGAGTGGATGACCTCGCCTGGCCGGTGGTCACTGTACTCTCAGGAGGGGTGGTATCATTGAGGAGGCGCTTCAGAGTTTCATTCTCACATATACACAGGTCCAGGTTGTTAAACCTTAAGAGGAAAGTGTTCCAGTCCTCTGTCATCTCTGGTGATTTGATTTCTTTCATCTTGAAGAAGTACCCCAGAGTCAAGAAGGCTATGGCCATCCCACTAATGCTGACCATAAAGACCACCAGCGGCGGTCGGCTGCTAATATAGGCCTTCAGGTTCTCCAGGGGATGTAAGCTTAGAATCATGGTGATGGAAATACCCTGCAGGGCCTGCAATGTCCGCGCTGTCGGCCTGTCCTCGGGTTCCCGCTCTCAGGCGGCCGGTATCAGGAGGGTCTGGCAGGGTCTTACATGCCTGTGTGACAGGTGGAAGGCTGCTCTCTGTTGCTCTCTTCCTGCTCCCTGACTTCCTTAGTTACTGATTGCAATAGTATTTTGAATGCACTTTATATCGTTGTTATTTATTTTATTTTTCCTGTTCTCTCTAAATATCAGCTCCTGGCTTTATGATCAGTCAGTTCTGTCATTTTAGCAGTGTATTGTCTAATTTTAGGTATTGTATGGTATACCTTGTGTCCAGTTTCAGAGCGATAATTAGTAGAACTTCTGCATATCTTTTTTCATTATTTTTTCCCTCAGAAGGCCTAGCTTAGCTTGGCCTTCTTCAGCAGTTTCACTCAATCATGAGTCTGGTGATAAACTACACCGACTCTTGCCAGTAAAGTCTCTTCCTGCTATAGGAGGGGGATACCTTCTGCTTATACTGTATTAGGGGAGTATCTTTTTTTTTTTTAATTTCTAAAAAATCTTTTTTTGTTACTGAAAATTTGCAGCATAAAAGCAACATGCGTGTCGGAGAAATTAAAATACCTGTGACCGACGAGAGGAGACTGAGGTTGTGTGTAGTTACAGATGCTTATAGAACGTATATTAATGATTAGAAAATCAGTGTTTCACGCCTTTCATACCTAATCTGCAATAACAAGCACATGTAAGAACATTCTCTGATGAATCAGAAAGAAATAAAACACTATTCTCCTGACAGAACAAAGAAAAATACTGTATTATTGTAAATGACCAGCGGAAAATATACAAGTTTCTAGAGTAATGTATGAAATCAAATCTAGACTGTTTTAATCCAGGTGGCCGGCACTGATGGGAGCCATTTATTTAATGCCAAATGTAAAGAAATAGCTGCTCTTCCTGCGATATTCCAGATTGAAAATGGCAATATACAGCGGTATGTTTCTTTCTCTGCGATAGTTGGAGTTATAGATTTTTATTATTTGACATATGTGGGTAAACATGAGTCACACGGTTTCTACTGATTGTTAACTGCATATTTTTATTCTGATTTTTTTTTCTTTTCTGGTCTTCGTAAAATGTATTTGTAAAATTCTTGAAATAAGAAACAATGTAAAAAAAAATTTAAAATGACTTACTTATTGGGATCTGTGATAGATAAAGTAAACGATGCTTAGCCTGGGTATTAAATCATATGTGTGTTTCCCATTGACAGCTTATTCACCGCTAGACATGGGGCAGGCAACCTTCAACACTCTAGATCAGGGGTTCCCAACCTAGTCCTCTAAGGTGTTTTTAGAAAAAGAGAAAAAAAAAAAAAAACACTTTAGACACAGCAGGGTAATCCCTAAATTCTGGACTGGTAGGGGGTACTTGAGGACTGGGTTGGGAACCCCTGCTCTGGATGTTGTGGACTACATCGTCCATTATGCTATGCTAGCATTATGGCTGTAATGGCATTATGGGAGATGTTCACAGCATCTTGAGTTTCGATGGTTGCCTACCCCTGTCCTAGACTATGCGTCAGTGTTAGCCATTGTACAGAGGGTTATCACCTTTTAAATTAAAAATTTCAAGAAAAGATGTATAAAAATAAATAAATTACACAGCCATAATCAATGCATTTTTTTGTCCCTCATGCTACAATAGTGTCAAATAATGGACATGTATACAAGCACAGTTCTGGTTTTCATTTTTCAGATGCTTTCCAGTGCCCACTATTGTCTATTTTAGCTTTGATTTATCTCCTTACAAGGTGCATGCCCCGGGAATGGATAAACTAAACTAAGGTCTCTGTCTCTTTAAATGCTGTGAAATGAGAATTCCTGAAAAGTAGATATGGAATCCTGAGCATCAGTTTTTCAGGCCTTCATCCTCAGTGTGTATCCTAGCAACTGGCAGCAAAGTCCAGTGGGTATATACAGTGTATTGAGCAATAACTCTAGCATGAAACACATTTGCAACAATTACACACAGCGATATAACAAACACGCTGACGGCAAACACACTGCTTTCCCATTTAATGTATCTCCCCTAATTACTAAACAATCTTGGTCTCTATTTTTAATCTTCCTTGATCATCACTGATGGGCTTTCAGTTTTCACTGTGTCCCTTTAGTGCATTGACATCGTTTACGCCTTATTTAATGTATCCGTCCCTCCACGCTCAGTTCATTCACAAGCCACGAGCCACGATGTATATATTATTTCACCAGAGATCCATTACAGTCTTCTATGTTATTGCTATGTATTATTATCATTGAAAAGCCTAACAGTGGCCGGTCTCTAAATGAACTCCGTTTTATTACACGGCCTTCAGAGCTCATCATTCCTCTGGAAGTAATGGCTGTGAGAAATTGTACTAAAGCTATGAGTTTGAAAGTGATAGCAATAAATATTTATAATCCTATATATTTTTTTGAAGGTTTCAGTTATTAAGGAACTTTGAGATATCCGTGCTGGATTAAGGATCCCCTGGGCCTGGAGCTAAAAGTTTTGATGAGTCTAATTACCTCAGTAAATTCACTAGATGGTGCAGACACTCATATAAATGAGCAATTGCTGGTATAAATCCATAATTGCATTTACATGTTGATTTATATATTCACACTGGACGTTCACACATACATGCACATGACGTGTTTAGTGGTTTTTTGTTATCCTAGGTCAGAGGTAGGCAACCTTCGGCACTCCAAATGTGGACTAGATCCCCCATAATGCTCTTACACCAATAATGCTGGCAAAGCATCAAAGGAAGTGTAGTCCAAAACATCTGGAGTGCTGAGGTTTGCCTTTGCCTGCCCTAGGTCTAGGCAAGTTTATTCAACTCTTACCTGTATGTATGTATGTATGTACAATGCATTATTGTATGAGGATGCTAGATTTACACTGATCAGCCAAAACATTAAAACCACCGACAGGAGGTTACTAACATTGATTATATTATGTTTTACTGGCACCAGTCAAGGGGTGAGATATAGTAGGGAGCAAGTGAACTGTCAGTGTCTCTCTTTGTCCATTTGAAATGTTGGAAGGTATGTATATGTGTGTGAATGTCTGATAGTGTATTTGAGCTTCTAGAAGTGTCTCATTGTGTTTGTTTGGGAATGTAGATCTATGACTGTGTGTCAGGGAGAGTAAATCCATGTGTGTGCAGGTCTGAGAATTTGTATATGTCTCTGAGATGCCAACGCTGTCAAACCATTCCTAAACAGTTTAACTGCTTACAATGGGAAGGTACTAGGGCAATCCTGGTACCATAATCTCTACAGTGGGCAGTAGTGGTTATGGTGCTTTGACTATTCCTTTAATAAATCAGAAATTTAAAATGACACTTTTATCAATCTCCTCTAGGCTTGTCTGGCTGAATAACATGGGCGTTATCCACCTAACCTTAAACGATCACTATAGGATCAGAAATACAAACATGTTTTCCTGACCCTATAGTGTAAAAACCACCATCTAGCACCCCTGCCTCCATAAATATAGCAAAATCTTACTGTATTCAAGCCTGAAGCTGTAGATCTGCATACTGTCTGCTGACATCATCAGAAGTGGTAACCTGATCCAATCACAATGTTTCCCCATAGGATTGGCTGAGACTGACAAAGAGGCAGATCAGGGGCAGAGCCAGCACAAGTCAAACACAGCCCTGGCCAATCAGCATCTCCTCATAGAGATGAATTGAATCAATGAATCTCTATGAGGAAAGTTCAGTGTCTGCATGCAGAGGGAGGAGATACTGAATGTTTGGAAGCATTTTATGCAGCCATGACCCAGGAAGGATCTCTAACAGCTATCTGAGGAGTGGCTAGTGAAGTTATCACTAGGCTGTAATGTAAACACTGCATTTTCTCTGAAAAGACAGTGGTTACAGCAAAAAGCCTGAAGGTAATGATTCTACTCACCAGAACAAATTCAATAAGATGTAGTTGTTTTGGTGACTATAGTCTCCCTTTAAAATAACCCTTAGCACTCCCAAACCTCGCAGGGCATTCCTAAGTAGGATAATGATCTGTGCTATAATTATGTTGATCTCCTCCTGATTTTATTTTAAAGGGATACTACTCTAGTGCTATGAATACAAAGTTATATTCTTAGCACTATAGCTCTCCCCCACCCCCTGCATAGTAAGGGTTAAAATACCCTTATTGTACTTATCAGATTGCAGCGCCAATGTTCTTTAACACTGGGTCGGCGCATTAGGCCCTCCCTATTGGCAAGCATTGCTGCAATACTTTCTTATGGGGAATTGATTGATGCTGGATGTCCTCATGCAAAGCATAGGGACGTCCAATGTCAGTTAGCTGACCAAAAATCTGAAGTGGCTCTAGTGGATGTTTGACAGCCACTAGAGGCAGTCTTAACCCTGCAATGTAATTATTGCAGTTTCCCATTGCAAGGTTAAGGGAACCTTTAATAATTGCTGTTTTGAAGATGACATTTTTAAGGTACAATCATGATATGAAAGCTGGGGTTAATAGTTCATTTGGAGACCACCAACATTCTAAGTAAGGCTGTGGTCTAAAAACCCCTTTGAAAGCCATGATTGACGACCATCAGATTAATTCTGGATGCCTTAGTAGTGAGACTATGTTGGGGTCCCCTAAGGCAAACAGTGGCAGCATCCATGCCAGTCTCTATGTGCCAGCAAGGTGGCTGCTCTTTGCCATCGGGTTGCTAAGAAAACCAAGTATAGCGATCCTATGGCAAGATGGACAGCTGATGCCAACAGGTGCATTGCATACTGGCATCAGCTGTCAGAGGAATATTATTGGATTCCTCAGAATTGGGCCAATGGCAAGTGTGACTAGCAAGGCAATCACAGTGATATTTAGCCACAATGCCTGCCGTGCATAAATGACAAGCTATTGATTGTAAACAATGACATGGCAATGCCATTTTCTACGTGATATGGGCCTAGTAAATTCATGTGTCAAGATTGCACATCTGACATGGGAAAATTTCAGGGAAATGCAGACCTCGAACTTCACACACAGACAGCAGAGGTCTGTGTGGTGGGTATTGCTGTACTTGGGAGGAGGAGAAGGAGCAGGGGCGGACTGACCACTGGGTCACAGATTGAGGGCCCGAGACAGTCAGGGGCCCATCTGAAAAGAGAACTCATTTTTCATAAAAACACAGTTACTCACATAGTAGGTTGCAGGCCCCCTGCAATCTAGCGCACTGTAAGTGACCTCCTCCCCCCTTCTCATTCAGTTCCTACAGCCAGGTCTCACCCATCCTCTCCCATGCGGTGCTCTGTTCAAATAGGAAGAGGTGGGGCGAGGGGTTGAGAGGTGACATCACTTCTTGCCCTCTCCTGCATAGCACTATGAAGATAGGGAGCAGAATCCTGGCAGACAGAACAAGTGCGCTCCTTGTAGATATATTCAACAGCCCCTATGTCTACCTGCAGCCACCACAGCCTTTCTCCCTCCTTGTACCCACCACAGCCCCTATGCTCACAGCACCAACTACAGCTTCCATCCCTGCATCCACTACCGCCCCTCTGCACCCTGTGCCAACTACAGCCCCCGTGCCAACTACAGCCCCTCTGCACCAACTACAGCCCCTCTGCCCCCTCCATTAACTACAGCCCCTCTGCACCCTGTGCAAACTACAGCCCCTCTGACCCCCTGCACTAACTACAGCCCCTCTGCACCAACTACTACAGCCCTCTGCTGCCCTCTGCACCAACTGCCTCTCTGCACCCTGCAAACTACAGCCCCTCTGACCCCCTGCACTAACTACAGCCCCTCTGCACCCTGTGCCAACTACAGCCCCTCTGCCCCCTCCATTAACTACAGCCCCTCTGCACCCTGTGCAAACTACAGCCCCTCTGACCCCCTGCACTAACTACAGCCCCTCTGCACCAACTACAGCCTCTCTGCACCCTGTGCAAACTACAGCCCCTCTGACCCCCTGCACTAACTACAGCCCCTCTGCACCCTGTGCCAACTACAGCCCATCAGCACCCTGTGCCAACTACAGCCCATCAGCACCCTGTGCCAACTACAGCCCTTCTGCACCCTGTGCCAGCTACAGCCCCTCTGCCCCCCGCACTAACTACAGCCCCTCTGCACCCTGTGTCAACTACAGCCCTTCTACCCCCTGCATTAACTACAGCTCCTCTGCACCAACTACATCCCCTCTGCCCCCCCTGCACTAACTACAGCTCCTCTGCACCCCCCCCCCTGCATTAACTACAGCGCCTCTGCACTCTGTGCCAACTACAGCCCCTGTCACGAAAAAACATCACCCACAATGCTCACGTGCCTCTAGCATCTTCCGTTGTGTGTATCTATAGTTGTTGGGTGAATACAAATTTTAACATGCCAAGCTAATTTCCCATATATAGGGTTTCCAGATTCAACATGTTGTTTGGACACCTATACACTGATCTGCCACAACATTAAAACCACTGAATTGAATAACATTCATTATATGGCACCTGTCAAGTGGTGGGATATATTAGGCAGCAAGTGAACAGTCACGGGAGTGATTTTCCCAAGGGCCAAATAGAGACAGCAAGTCTTGTGGGTTGTTCCCAGTATGCATTGGTTAGTACCTACCAAAAGTGGTGCAAGGAAGGACAGCCTGTGGACTGGTGTCAGGGTCATGGACGCCCGAGGTTCATTGATGCACATAGGGAGTGAAGGTTAGCCTGTCTGGTTCGTTTACACAGAAAGCTACTGTAGCTCAAATTGCTGAAAAACATATTGCTGGCCATGATAGAAAGGTATCAGAACACGCAGTGTATCGTAGTTTGCTGCGTATGGCACTGTGTAGATGCAGACCGGTCAGTGCCCATGATGACCCCTGTCCAACTCTGAAAGCACCTTCAATGAAGACATGTGTCGGAAATGGAGCCATGGAAGAAGGTTGCCAGGTCTAATGGCGCATTTGTTTGCACCTTATAAATGACTAATAAAAATAAATAACTTCCACAATCCACACTTTTCTTCCCTTCCACTCCCAGCTTCCTACTTTTCTTTTATCTAGGGTGGCTCTATAAAGAATGTTTTCCTGCACAATTACCATTTATACATATTGCTTGGCAGCATATGAAAAGCATTTCCCTGTGAGTATGGAGAATTCAAATACCGCAGGAAGGAAATCAAAATCATTATTCAAAGAGCATATGAATTCTGCATACAGCACCTTTCATCTGTAGCCCATCACCATAAGGAAGTGATATATGTTCTGAAAACCAAGGTGGACTCTGGATATGGTAGCCCCAACTCCCTGCCCAGTCCCCTATATCCCCTGTAACTCCCATTTCCCCTTGTAAATCTTAGCCCCCCCCCCCCTCCTTTTAAATTCCTGCACACCTCCTTGTCTTTAATTTACACTTCCCCATCACTTTAACTCCCAGTCCCCTTCCATCTCTTAAACTCCATGCCCTTTAACTTATAGCCCCATCTATGCCCTTCATTTCCAGGTTCCCTTTGACTCTCCCTGTTACATCCAGCCCCCCTCCTTCCCTTTGACTCCCAGCCCCCCTCCTCCATGTTACATCCAGTCCCCCTCCTTCCTGTTACATCCAGCCTTCCCTTTGATTCTCAGCCCCCCTCCTTCCTTTTGATTCTCAGCCCACCTCCTCCCTGTTACATCCAGCCTTCCCTTTGATTCTCAGCCCCCCTCCTTCCCTTTGACTCTCAGCACCCCTCCTCCCTGTTACATCCAACCCCACTCCTTCCCTTTGACTCTCAGCCCCCCTCCTTCCCTTTGACTCTCAGCACCCCTCCTCCCTGTTACATCCAACCCCCCTCCTCTATGTTACATCCAGTCCCCTCCTCCCCTTTAACTCCCAGCCCCGCTTGCTCAGCCCTCAGTGCAGGATTGGCCTTCCAGCGCTGCAGCCAGCCAGCAGGACAGAGCCTGGTGCCAGTGAGGCTGAGATAGCAGAGCCAGCAGAACCCAGTGCAGAGCCGAACCATGGGAGTGGATATCGAGACTATCACCCCAGGAGACGGTACCTTGATCTTATTCTCTATTTATTAAACCAGGGGTCCTTAATAATGCCCCCCCCCAGCAGCTCCCTTCCTGCCCATCCCCCCCTTCCTGTAGGACATGGTGCAGGGCAGGGTCTGTCCCATGCTTCCTGCTGGGTACCCTGGGTGTGGATCCTGCAAATAACGGGGTACCGCTTACATGGCTGCCTTACTGGGCATAGATGAGATCTACAGAAAGCTGGATTATTAACATAAACAGCATTTAATGACAGGGGTGGCCAAAAAAAGGATATAGAACTACAACTCCCACGATCCTTTGTCAACTGTAGGGCTGGCAAAGCATCATTGTATTGTAGTCCTGCAACAGCTGGGTCCACATTTTGCCCACCCTGCAAAAATGCAAACATTAAAAAAATATAAATATATAATTATTTAATTTATTTTTTTTGCAGGGTGGGCAAAATGTGGACCCAGCTGTTGCAGAACTACAATACATTTTTTAATTTTATTTTTTAACTAATTTTTATTTTATTTTTTTTTTATTCGGGGGTTTTGTTTCTGTATTTCACATGGTTATTGTCATTTGCTTTTAATGTATGTGTCTGGTTCCCAAGGTGTTCCAGTGAAGAGATAGCTTGTAGCGACAATACATTAAAACCTGATTATTGGGGTCTAGATTGCTAATCCTGGCTGCTATTATGAGAGGAGAGCGGGGATGCACACAGTCAGTCCATGCTGTGTGTTCTTTATGGGAGGCTCACACTGATCACTGAACCTTGCAATGTAACAGGAGCTGCCTTTACACACTGAGAACGGGGTTCTTAGAAAATGTCAGGGGTAAGCTATTAGTTACTATGTATAACATCCATCTTCCTCCATGGAAAGAGTAAAACGCTTAAATCTTACTCCTGCAATATGGATCTCGCAGAAGATATGAGATGGGGGTAATAATTACCATAATAGATCCTCTTAGAAATAATAACTTGGCTCTTAAAGTACATTCATAAAACAAAATATTCGGTGAACAGATTGATTTAGCCATAGTCTAGTATCTATTTACCGAATATACCAGACTGTATAGATACACTATAGATAAAATTATCAATGTACATCACAGCTATTTGTCATTGAGTATTTTTTTTTTATTCGTTTTTTACATTGTATCATTTTAAACATGCAGCTTTTTATTGACTAAAATTTACATAATTTAAGGATAAAAGAGGAAGTCGTATAGACCTGTCAATTTATGGTAAAAAACAAAAACAAACCGGAGCTGAAGTGCTGTCAAATTTCTCATCTTTGGCTTCTTCATTTATTCCGTTGACTTGTGTGAGAGACATAAATATATATCCAGTTGTTTCTTGGAAATCCAAACACATTCCATGAATAATGGATCAAGACCATCAACTGGTTGAACACACATTAATCTTGAATTGCATGGCAAGGAAATATCTGGAGTGCAGTTCAGTAGATTTGAGTTGCTGTACTGAATATCTATTTATTTTTGCCATTCTTAAGACTGGTCAAGTGTCATGGTTACTTGGCTACTGCTACGGTAGAGGGATGTAAATAATCCAGAATAGGGGAGAAGCTTTTCCTTTTTCTTTGTTGCACAAAAAGATCAAGTGATCATCTTAGTCTTTCAAAGATGGTTCCTACCATTCACACCTTGCTATTTCTGATTGTCCTGATGATCAGAAAAATAGGATGATGGAGGTCAGACAAATTGGAGCTATTGTCAGCAACTGTATCGCAGAGAAATGCTAATTCCAATACTGGAGCCAAATCACTAGCCTCTATATTAAATAATTCATTGGCCAAGCCAGATGGAGAAAGATATGTATGATCCTCTATCCGTATGGAGACTTTATGGTCTCGAAGCTGTTCACAATTTGATTTACCTAAGACTAAAAATGGCAAACGCAAGCAGAACACCAAACGTTCGAACCAAATTCTTCAACTGTATTGATAAGAATAGACAAGATTGATCTGCATTTGAATGGAACATATAGACCCAAATATAATTGCTATTTTAGACTACATGTTCCCTTCTAGTGAAATAATCATTGTCTATCCAATTGCTCAGTAAAATTTTGGCAAAATAAAAATTACTTACCTTGTTCACAGCGCTGAGACTCCTCCTTCATTGATGTTGGCATCTAAGCTCAATCTTCCCTAATCCATTCATTCTCTCAAAGAAGAAATGGGTTGGAAGTAGGCATGCCAGGACATCTACACCCATGTCAATAAAATGGTCGAGGTGCTTTTATTGGTCAACCAATAGGAACTCATCCAAAAACATGATTCTTCCAGTGATGGAAAACATAATTTAAGTTAGTTCGAGACGCCTACTAAAAAAATTGTTTTGGTCATGGGGCAAATCACAGTTTAAAGGATTACTCCAACCCTTATGTAAACTATGTATATTTTTTAAAATATATAATGCCATGCAGAGCATTACTATTAGGTTCCATTCCCCCCTCCCCCACCAGATAAACCCTGTAAAGTTTTTAACATACCTGAAATCCAGCGCGTGGCAAAGCTCCCGGTGCTGATCTTCCACAGCCTGTTCTTAAATGACCACTATAGTGCCAGGAAAACAAACTCTTTTTTTCTGGCACTATGTAGTCCTTAGGTCCCACCCTCATGGCCCCCCTCCCGCTGGGCTGAAGGGGTTAAAACACTTACCTTTCTCCAGCGCCGGGCTCCCTCCTGCCGACGTCAGCGCTGAACGCGCGCGCATTAAAACCGCCCATAGGAAAGCATTTCTCAATGCTTTCCTATGGACGTCAGCGTCTTCTCACTGTGATTTTCACAGTGAGAATCGCTGAAGTGGCCTCTAGTGGCTGTCAGTGAGACAGCCACTAGAGGCTGGATTAACCCTCAGTGTAAACATAGCAGTTTCTCTAGGACATGGGGGACCTGGCACCCAGACCACTTTATTGAGCTGAATTGGTCTGGGTGCCTATAGTGGTAGTTTAAGTCATCTCAGCACTTCTGCGATCCAATCACCATACTTTTCATAGAGAAGCCTACGATTGGATCGTTTTGCCTACTAGAATGCATGCGCACAATCTGAACAGGAATGGAGGGTGGTAGGGGGATTTTAATTACAATAATCCTATTTAAGTTACAAAGGTAGGTGGGAAGCAGCGCCCCTCGAGTACCCATGCAGCGCAGTAAGGGAGGGAAAGGTTATGCCTGCTGCCAACACGCTGCACAGAATTGACATTCGGTAGCTGACTAAATTACTTGTGCTGACGGTGCAACTAGTCTGGGCTACCTAATCTCAATTAAAAAATAACTAAAGCAGAAATACTGCAATGCCAGACTGTTACCGCCATGACCACTTCAAATCACTGAAGCTGTCACGGTGGTCGAAGTAAGCTTTAATCATGGTGAAATAGAACAACCTTTTATATAGTAAGGTGTATATTACGCCTATTATTGATGACAAAATTGAAAAGATTTTAATGAGAAAGCTACTATAAAAGACCTGTGTAAATCAATTCATTCTTCTTGTCAAGATTGCCAGATACATTCCAGGAATACTAAGAGTTTGCTTTGGCTAAGGAAGTCATTAATAATCAGTCTACTTTGAACTTGGATATTTTATGTGGGTATAAAATTTTGCCCTCAAACAGAGCCAATATAACAAATTTAAGGAAATGTTAAAAAGTTATTTTTGCTTAAAAAAAAAAAAAAATCCACACATTTCAGTTGGCCAACACAAAACCAGTTGATTAGTTGATGTTGATTAGTTTGGTTTTGGAAAGGCTGGCAAACCATAAACTCATAGGTGAATAATTACCGGTAAATGGATTAAAATGCAGGCATACAGTCTTCAAGACAACATATGGTCTTCAAGATATGATTCCTTATAAGATGTCAATTTAGGCTTGGACCTTTTTGTAGCCTAGGCAGCACTTTGTCTCTAAAGTAACCCTCCAAGCACCATACTACACCCTCTCACACATACACACAACAGTCAAACCGTTTTTCAATGGTGTGACTTCTGGGGTCTGCTAGGAGCTGTTCCACACTTCCACTACGAACGCCGTTAAGTCTGAAACTCCTGAGCATTCGTTGGCTCTCCTGATCTCACTGGCTGACAGCGTCCACTCATTGTTCTCGGCCCAGGAGTTAAGCCATGCACTGCAAGGTTTAGCTTGGAATGCTTACAGCTATCTGTCGTTAGAAGTGGTGGTGGAGACCAGTGCCCAGCATATCCCATATAAAAAGTCCAACTGTTCTTAAATGGTTTGACTACTTACACTGGGGTGGGGGAGGGGAGAAACCAGTGTACTCTGAGAACCAGAACCACTACAGCACATTTTGTTCAGTTAGATTATGCAGCCACTGTTTTTTTTTTTTTTTACTGAATTTTCATGACCCATGTGTGTTGTCAGCTGTATGATCAATTATAAGCTTAGGCAAGTCCTATCGCATATATTGTTTTGTTTGAGGATTTCAATGCCTAGTTATTGTGCCTTTCATAACTGAAGTCTTTCACCGTGGATTGAAAGCGGTGATGACCCTAAAAATACACTATCAGTTCACTGCTATGGATTTAAAAAAAAAAAAAAAAGGATTTACTCACCTTCTCTCCAGTGCCGCCTCTCCCTATGCGCTGCTGCACACGCCTCCCCATGCCACCAGGATTACTGTCTTCGTAGAGGAGCATTGGGAACAATAGGCACAGGTGTGGTGCTCGCCACAATGCACCTATGATTCTGCCATAGAGAATAATTGAATGCAATGATTGTCTATGAAAGACCGCGACTGCATTGAGCATGCACGTGTGATGTCACAGTATACCGGAGTAAGAAAGCTGAGAAGTAACAGTCCAGGCTCTCCTACCCAGGGGGCTTGGAGGCATGGCTTTATGCTGCACTTCCCAGCTTTCAGAATATTAAAAAAAATAAATTAAAAAAAATTAAGGGGTTGAGCACGAGGTCTAGGAATAAAGACATTATATCAACTTAAATAAGATGAAGTTGTTATAGTGCCTCAAGTGTTCATTTAATGTAAATTTTGTTGTGATTGTAATACAATTTATATATTTTTTTTTTTGTGTGTGTCTACAGGAAGAACCTTTCCAAAGAAGGGACAGACCTGTGTTGTCCATTACACAGGTAAGTTAAACTGACTTTATACTAAGTATTAATGGAATTCTGTGGGTACGTGTGCTGCTGCTTCGTTCAATAAATGTTCAAGTTTTTAATACATGTACAAATTACATATATAGATGACAGTTTGTTGTGGTCGTACATTTAAAGGAACACTATGGTGTTCGGAATTCAAACATGTATTCCTAACACTGTAGTGCTGCAGTGGCTGTTTAGCTCCCCTCAGGTAGCAGTGAAAAGGTTTTAAACTTACCTGTAAAGGGACACTTCGGGCCATAGTGTGGACCGGTATTGGTAAATTAAAGCCAGGTTGGTTGCGGGAATGCCACACTGTGCTTTCCCCGTTTCAGAGGAGACACCAGTATCATGGGTCAGATGTAGGTTACCCACCATGTCAGTTGGCTGACATGATGCCCATGTTAGTCCATGTCGGCCTGGTTGACTTTGACCAGCTGGGAGTATGGAAGGAAAAGTGGTCAAAGCAAAGGTCTGTGTGACATAGAAATACTGTAGGTGATACATTGTTTATTTTGTCATTCTAATAACAATTCTAATTTTTCCCACAAGCCAGATTTTACATAATTTTCAATTTGATAAAGAGCTAACTTTGGGGGAGAACATTCATGTAATCCAAATGTACTTTTTTTTTCCTGGTGGGGGAGTAAATTTCCAATTGGTTTGGGTTATGTCTACATCACCAAGAAGGATTTTCCTACCATTGTGCCTATCCTATTGAACCTGTGGATTCTTCACTATTATCTCAGTATTTGAGGTTGTGGGCCTTTACCAGAGTGTACAGAGCAAGGTACGGACTACCTAATCTGTGTCTTGCAGTGCCATACCACACAGTATATTGATTTTCTAAGAATTCCTGTCCGGATCTCTCTGGGTGTGCTCACATATTAATAATTAATGCTTTATGGCTGCTTTTATTTTTTTGGTGGCCTATTCATTTTGCAAACACAATGAGTAGTTTGTGTTTTATAGATGATAAAGTCCCACTAAGCATCTCTTCAATTGTAGCATTGGCTGAGAACCCTTGATTATTATTACTGTTTTTAGTTTCATCCACAGTAATTCATTTTGGTTTTGCAGTAGTTTTTTTTTTTTTTTTAATTGTTTAAGGTTTTACATCTTTTTTGCTAGTCTTATTAAAAATCAGAGGAATAACAATAAACCTTCTTTTTTTTCTCTCTCTCTCTTTTCAATATATTAATACCAAAACATGTGGGGCACTTTCTTTCACCATGGAGTGTCCTTTTTAAGAAATGTTTTATAAGTCTATCCTTGGACTAAAATGTCCACCTGCCTCAGGCAGACGACTGTGAGTGATAGGTTTTGCAGTGCAACAACAGCTGGCAAGGCACCTCATTATCACATTTAACTTAAGCTTGTGGAATTGAGAGAGGGTTCAACATCTACACCCCCATTCTAACCTCTTCAATCAAGAAGGCTAAGAAGCAGTCATATGGGATAGGTCCTTAGCTAGCCCCACACTTGTTTTCTTAGGAATTGGAACCCTTACAAACATTTGCACATGCACAGTGACCTCTTGGAGCAGGCATTCAACATGAGCTGTTGAACCTGTGTAATTTCAAGCAGGAGAACCCAGATATGCCTGCGCACTCTGAATGAGTGCATCTGTTGGTATCAGTGTCTCTTTGTGTATATGTCTGTCGCTAGGAGCCAGAGCTATCTGTCATTGTCAGTATGTGTCTGCCTGTCTGAATGCATGTGTGCGTGTCTTTATAACTATGTCTACTTAACCCCCAGCCCAATAAATGCACACTCGATAGATCACTAAAAACCTGTCACACCGGCCAGCTGCAAGGCGCCATTTTCAAATTTGCTTTAAAAATAAATAATACATTAGCAAAACGTCTAATTTATATCCATAGGGATAAAAAAGGTTTACCTTATCCAATGTCTAATAACAAAGATATGTAAACATTCTCAATGACATTCTATATGAATGACGCGGGTTGGCGTTTTGTTCTCTGCTCGAACAACATCCATTAATGTTTTGTAGTAAAAAATCTGAATTCAAGGAATAACCTTCCTGTAGTGTTTGTAAGAAATAATACAGAAGTGTATTTATTCAGTAGTATATTACATAAATTGCATATATTAAAATTGAATACTCAGATTGACAGGGTCCTATTAAAAATTAACCTTTAAAACATAGAAAATCTAGATGATTTGTGGCAAGTTCGCAATTGTGTGCAACTTCTCAGACCGGGAAGTCCAGAAAGGCCAACATGTGGTATTGAGGTACAACTCATGGATACTGGGTTGGTATTGCAGGTCAGGGGGCAAATTAGGGAACTGTACCCTTCTTCAGTCTGTGGACATCAACTCCCTTCACTACAATGCATCCAAGGTGAGAGAGGAGCTGGAGCAGAGTACTACTGTAGCAGATGACAATAGAAAATAAAACTAAAGGGAATATGAGGTTGTTCCCTTGGCAACAAATCTATTTTTATTGGAATGTTAAGAGTATGCTTATTATGTTTTGATTTCTTTCCCATACTCTCTATAAAATGATGGCCTCGTGGCACCATTATTGTTGGCTTATTTAACACACCATTTGTGAATATATCTGAATGTACCTTTCCTGGTGAAATGCGTTGTTGTTATTGTGTCGCTTGACTGTCAAATAAAGAATTGAAAAAACAAAATGAATGCTAGACAGAATGGAAGCTTGTCCTCAATTACCAGTATACTGATAAGAAACCTTGGTTATGAACTAATGCTTACACTGACCATGATAGCATTAAATTGTTTTCAGCCAGGTTACATTTGTAGTGCTGGTTAATTTGTTAATAGCCCATGTTTGTGCACAGCCAAGATTGCCTGCAAAGCCAATAGGCTGGAATGGTCATAACATAGTTAAAGGGACATTGAAGTGGTCTGGGTGCAATGCCCTATGTCAATTAACCCTACAGTGGTCATTTCTGCAGTTTCTGAGAAATACAAACTGGAGGCAACCATTAGTGTTGCCTCCTTTGTCGATTTTTATTGGTCACCAACCATGATTGGAGTTGGGAGTGTTATGGTTTTTAACAAATCAATATATAGTTTTCAAATATGTAATTTTCTTAATATGCACATTATAAAATGGAATACATCGTAATAAAATTTATTTCTTTTTTAAATTATTTTTACATTAGAACTTGAGCTAGGGTTAGGATCCCTTTAACGTATGTCTGTCATGGGACCCGTAACTTCACTATATGAACGAAGTAACTGATGTCTCAATCTTCAGATATGTGCTGATAATGAAGCCAGGGGAGCTGTGCATTGCTTGGAGAAGTGCTACCAATAGTTCCAGTAGTGTGGAGGGAGCAGGGTCACCTGGGGATGGTGTTACATTTACCTGTATAATGGCATCACCACTGGTGCTGGAGGGGGGGAGGGGATAATTAATTAATATTCTCTAAGCAACTACATATATGATAACGATTTATGATCAGTAATGTAGTTGTTGACTAAAGATATAGATAGATAGATATTTATTTATTTTGTATGGGGCCGGTCATCTTGAGGTCTTTGGTCAGAAGCACCATTTAGCTGACCTTAAATGGTGCCCATATTAAAGACCTATATTTTCCTAGACAATGCAATGCAAAGTGTGAGGGTGTCCAGCGTCGTTTCACGGAGTCAAACTCCATGAAACTGCAGAAAGTGCCTCTAGTGTCTGTCTGGTAGAGGAAGTGGTGTGTGTGCCTATTGTATCCTTGTAATTTATTTTTCCCCATAGACTGATTTCTAAACACATTTATTGTAGTCTAAGACACATTACTGTGAGTATTACTGCTGTGGTGCACAAACCATAGCTCTTAGAGAAAAGGGACATTAGGATTTTGGCCCAAAATAGGGACTGTCCCTCCTAAATAGGGACACTTGGGTGGTATGCTGACACAATGTAAGCATGTAGCATGGGAAAATGAAAGCAAATCACTCTTGTCACAAACTCATGTATTGGCATGATCTGGGGGGGCAACATGCTTGGTCAGAGATTGAAAATAAACTGCAACTTTCTTCCTTGGGCCTGTGACTTTCTGGATATTGCGAGAGTTGATGTTCGAATGTGATGAATATCTTGCCTGTCTATTTTGTGTTGCTATCTACAAACCTGTCCAGTGTGACCCAGTTTCATAACTTCTCATCAGGCCTTGGGACAGCGCATCAATATCCGGACGCGTTGGCATTCAGTCCTGTCCACTTTCATTATACCCTGCAGTGTCCTATTATTTCTCATTGATTCCTTCTTTTCCCCAAGAGATCAGGGTTATTTCGAATAAGAGAAGGACTGATTGACTTGAGAAATTGAATGTCAGATAACAGTGTTTTCAATTCATCTTCTAAACCAATCCATTCGATGTTAAGAAAATTGAAACTGAAACCATCAAGAAGGAATCATTTGGTTTTTTTTTTTAAGGGAATAATTGCACAGTCTAGATGGACCAGTTGGATTTATATATATATATATTATTGTTATGATGACTGGGGTGTTCCTTTAATGCTTCATAACAACTTCACCTTAATGAAGTTGCTATGATGCCTGAAGGACCTGTGCTCCGTCTTACTTTAAGGAGTTAAATTCATACATTTTAATGAACACTGTAACACAAGAAAACATTTTAATTAATAGTGAACCCATCTGTAAACTGAAGCCAAACTTTTGAAAAAAATCTCATATATATATTCACCGCTTTATATATTATTATTTTTTTAGCTTCTATTTTGCCTATCAGATTTAAATTGTCTGTAATTATGTGGTTCACAAATAAATCTACAACATTTCTTTCTACTATGTTTACAAGGCTTCGGTTTTAACAATATAATTCTGGAGCTAAGTCCATTTTATTCCAAAGTGATACCAGGTTCGTTCGTGGATGTATACATAATCTGGAAACACTCTACAGGTGTTTTCTGTTTTTGGTAGCTGGAGGAGATCTTTTATTTCCGTGAGACGCTATAACCGTTGTGTATGCTCTTTGTTTTTTTATATTTGTAGGATTCTAAAGCTGTACAGCTGTATTCATCCACTTTAGAATTTATGGCTTGTGTCAGGTGCCAAAGAGAGTATCTATGAAATACTTTATTGAATGTTTAAAATAAATGGGAATCCATAAAAATTTTCATTTTTTTTTCTTGCTTTCTTTATTATTTTTATTCTGTAGTTAAATCCTTCTTGGCCTGGGTCTATGAGTTTAATTAGAACCTTCCATTTAAACTAAGAGTGGTAAGCTGTGCATTTTCAGCCTTGTGACAATTAACAAATGTATTTATATTTCCAGACATTCGTGTGCTCCAGCCAAGGGGCAGGTGGCTGAGGGTCCTTACATTTCTTTAACACTTGCTTCTTTTTCCATAACTAATTTTAGCTTCCCATAGGAAACCCCCACATCTAGTTACCTTTAGCAAGCGATCTTGCTTAGTAGGCAGTGTAGGCAACAGACACATTAATATGACTTGTAATCTCCAGACAGATTAGTGGAATATTATGTTACGTGGACCAGCTGAGATTGGTCTCGGCACAGTAATATGTTAGATTTAGACATGACATGTTACTGAATAAATTGGGAAACTGGGATGTGTGGTGCAGAGCTAGAATGATGTAATAACGTATTCTGTATAATACCATATTTTACCATTTTCACTTTTAACATTACAGAATTATCCTTGTCTAATCCTTCTAAAGAAACCTTAAAATCTATGAATACAGGGGTGGGTGTATGTATGTTTAACATAACACTTCAGTGTTCGAAATGTATATTGGAGTGTTGCAAATTGATTTTTAGACTCCGACTCTCTCCTCCCCCTCCCATCGCATTCTAAAAAAGTTACGTGCCTCTAATCCTGCAGAGAGATGGTTTCTGTGCTGCCATGAAGATCTCTCAGGCCAATTCAATTCTTCTCATAGAAAAAGCATTGGGGTCTTACAGTGCATACACAGCAATTTCTGTACCTGCACCAATCGATAGCTTCTATTGGAGAAGCAATGAATCTTGTGCCTCTCTACGAGAAGCCCTCATATTAAGGTTTCTTTGGAAGAGCACCTGCCCTGCATTATGACAGTCATGTGAGTGCACTTGCAGGTAACTCGTTATTCACTGCTCTATAGCCACTAAAAGGGCAACTGTTTTAAAATGATAATGTCATGGCCGCATCAGTTTTTTGCCCCCCCCCGGTAGATCCCAAGTGCCATAAAACATTCCACCTTTTATTTCTTGTCTGGATCTATGCCCTAGGAGCCATCTTGGTGTTCCCTGGACAACGTGTACCGGATAGGCTTCATCTGCCCACACTAGCTCGGTCTGTGAAAATTGCACACAAGCCCAGCTGAACACATAGAAACATAGAATGTAACAGCAGATAAGAAACCATTTGGCCCTTCTAGTCTGCCCAATTTTCTAAATACTTTTATTAGTCCCTATCTTTTATATCTAGGATAGCCTTATGCCTATCCCATGCATGCTTAAATCTTTCACTGCGTTAACCTCTACCACTTCAGTTGAAAGGCTATTCCATGTAACCACTACCCTCTCACTAAAGTAATTCTTCCTTATATTATTTTTAAACCTTTGCCCCTCTCATTTAAGACTGTGTCCTCTTGTTGTGGTAGTTTTTCCTGTATTAAGAAATAGCATTTGCTATTGCCCAAATTTTGGACTGCATTTAGTCTATTATTCGTCCATTCGTCAGAAAGACCACCAAGCGAATAGAAATTACAGTGAATGAAGCAAAGACCGAATTGCAATTCAGTCTTATATTGTTTGTTTAGTGTATTACAAGGAGGGAGCTACTGGTTATGCTGCGAGTAGGGGCAGCCCTACCCACCCATTAGTGGCGGTTGAGGGCCCTAAGTGATAAGGAGGGTACCCATTATTCCCCCAGCCCCCATCCATTGGCAGCATGTGGTTACTAATTGTAAATAACTCTTCACCCTAGTGATTAGGGGGCCCATAGTCACCACCCCCCCTCCATTAAATATATTCTACCTACCCTCCCCCACAACCTAATAATACTGGGGGGGGGAACATAAGCTACATACCTGTAAAATAAAACATTAATAATCACCATTAATTTTTTGAATTTTTTTTTTTCCAGCCCCCAATAAGGCCAAATAAAAATCCAGTGCCCAGTCGAACTATTAAAATAATAACAAAAAACCTGCAATAGGGCCCCAACCTGACGCTTATGTGTGGGAGCTGGGGGGGGGGATAGGTTCCAAAGTCTATGAGATGAAGGATCTTACTGGGTCAAGTCTTTGCTTGTAAATTTGTGAAGTATAGAAGGATGGTGTGATTTACTTGTAGAGCACAAACCAATAGAGTTATGGGGAAAACTTTATTGCGGTGTGTGTAGCTATATTAGAGAACAAAGTGGCTCCCCATTGCTATTCCCTACTGCTGCGAAGAAATGGTGTACCCAAAAGAAAAATGGCCTTTAATACAATTTATTTGTTTGGAGCAACTGGCACTCTGTAGTTTTGTTCTTTTAAAAAAAAATATACCTTTTGGTGGAGGTCTTTCTGTTTTTGCGTGGTTTTTATTTTTTTTTTTTATAGGCTTTGAAGCAACAGCTGCAGGCAGCCCTAATTATTGTTCCAATACTACTTGCTATCCAAATGTGTAACCCACACACGGCCTCCGCAGGCTATTATAATGAATTAAACATCACGATTTCAGATCTTATTGCCAAAAAAATTACATTACTGCTCATTAAAGCTACGTAGGTGCCTGTTATAAACCTAAACCTGTATATTGGCAAATATAATATTTTGCTATTGGTGTTTTTAAGAAGACTAAAGGTTCTTGCACTGTCCTGTATTGGACAGCATCCTCTATCTCTCGATCTATTATTTTGTCAGTAATGTCCACTGTGTGAGTGTGTATTCTAAAGATACACAGCAGTTTATACATATCACACAGTAGTGTTTTATAGAACTCTATAGCAAGAAAGAGAGCAGTACTGTAGACTATGTATAAACAGTTATTTTCCAGGATTTTAGTTTTTTGTTTTTTTTCAGTTTACATTTTCTTTTTTTCAAATTGTATTTTATTGGTTTTACAACAAGTGGGCAAAACACCGTACACAGTCGCATGTACACATACCATAACATATTAATAGTGCAAGTCGCAGCTTGCTTACAACATAAGTAGGTAGTTAATACAGTCTAACATAGTCATCATAAGGTTATAGTTCACTAACTTGCCAGTTGGCATATCATATATCTGCAAGTGGTTGCGAGATGGTCCCGCATGCATCTGTGTATGGCATAGACAGAAGGGGGTAGTATTAAACTAGGGAAGGGATGGGTATGAGGAAGGAGACGGGAGAAACAGGACAAGGGGACAAAGTGTATTCTGCTTGGTGGCACGTTTCCCAAGATTGTTGATTGTCTAGAGGTCAGTATTGGAACCCAGAATGTCGTCTCACGTGGCTTGCTGATTTGTCATCTGGGTCCACTTGCACCAGGTTTCTCGAAACCTGAGGGCTTGGGAGGGGGAGCTTAGGGACATTTTTTCATAAATATAATATTGTTGCAATTTATCCTTTAATTGCGACCTGGGTGGGCATATCGTGCTTTTCCAATTTGTCGCTATGAGGTTTCTAGCTGCTAACGAGGTTATCGCCACCAATTGGTGATAGATTGATTCTACCTTTTTATCTGGTATCAATAATATGCAATTGGAAATGGACGGGGAGAAAGTTGAGGGTCCCAATTGCCTCAGAAGTGTTCCCACATCCTCCCACAAAGGTGCGATGCCAGTGCAGGACCACCAAATATGCCCCACCGTGCCTTTCTCCACTCCACATCTCCAGCACAGGGGAGACACAGTGGGGTACATTCTGTGTAGCTTGGTCGGGGTAAGGTACCATCTGTATAGTAGTTTTTTGTGGGCTTCTATGTGGGAATAACATTTTGTCCATTTGGACAGGCCGTTCAGGGCACCCAACCAGGTACCATCCGGTAGGTCCGTACCTAAGTCCTCCTCCCATTGTTTCTTGCACAGCGGAGGCACATCTGGTGGCACCGCTAGCCACGTTCTATAGCAAATGGAGAGGGCTTTAGGCTTGTTCGGTGTGTCCCTACATCTAAGCATAATCAGAGAGGGCATTAGTGGGTTATTCATGCTGGGAGGAGTTGGCGGGGGCAAAGCATGGGAAGTCAGTATACTCCTGATTTGCAAATATTTGAAAGTGTCCTGGGCAGGCACGTTCCATTTCCTCCTTAGTTCTGAGAAGGGTATTACCTTACTATTGTTTTCCAAGAGGTGCTCAAGTCTGTCTAAACCCATGCGTGTCCAGTGGGAAAGAGAGAGTGATTGGGTTATGGTTTTTAGTGCCGTTAGGGGGGCCTTGGGGTGCAGTTTATGACTGTAGCCTATTTGGGCCATAAAGGAATCCCACATCAGTATGGTCAGCCTAGTGGTAGGGAAAAGAGGTGTGTGTTTGTACCGAAGGCGTTTTGGGGTCCACAGGTAGTCCGTCATGGACTTGTCTTGAAATTGGTCCCTCTCCATATCCACCCATTGTGTATGGCCTTGGGGTGAGTGTGCCGCTATACATGTTGCCAGGGCAGCTGCTTTGAAGTAGAGGTGGATGTTAGGGAGACCCACTCCCCCTCTGTCAGGTGTATTTTGTAGTAGCTTAAGTGGCAACCTCGCTTTTTTGCCCCCCCAAACGAAAGTGTTACAGGAAGATTGTAGTACCTTAAATAGTGCAGCGGGTATCGGGAGAGGGAGCATGCGAAATACATAGAGGAGTTTTGGGAGCGTCATCATCTTAAACGTGTTAATCTTACCTAGCCAGGATAGGTGGGTCGTTTCCCAACCCGCCAACTCCTCGTGCATAGCTGAAGTAGAGGCGTGTAATTGTGTTTTACAATTCCTGCTATTGTAGGAGATATTTTAACCCCCAGGTACGTTAGGGTGCTAACTCTCCAGTCGAATTGATAAGAGGATTTTAAGGTGACTAAATCGTCTTGGGGTGTGTTAACAGGTAGCGCCTGTGTTTTGTCTCGGTTTAATTTGTAATGGGAGACGTTTCCAAATTGTGTCAGTAGATCGAGAATGTGAGGTAGCGCCCGTCTTGGGTTTGAGAGGGATATTATAACATCGTCCGCAAAAAGAGAAAGACGGTATTCTTTTCCTTTAACGGTTATACCTCGCATATGTTCGTGATCCCTAATCTTTTGGGCCAGGGGTTCTAGGGAGAGGATATACAACAGGGGAGAGAGTGGGCAGCCCTGTCTAGTTCCATTCGTTATGTGGAACTTCGAGGAGAGGAAACCGCCACAGGACACCTTGGCAGCTGGGGTGGTGTATAGTGCCATGATTTGGGATATGATAAGAGGAGGAAAGCCAAATTTGTGGAGAACCTTCTGCATATAGGTCCAGTTGAGCCTATCAAAGGCCTTCTCTGCGTCCAGCGCCAAGAAGAGGCCTTGGCCTTTGGTTCTTTCTAGTTCTGCTAAGAGATTCAATACCTTCCTGGAGTTGTCTGAACCCTGCCTGCCTTTGATAAAACCGGTTTGGTCATTGTGTATGAGTTTGGGCAGGAGTTTGGCCAGTCTGTTACTGAGAATTTTGGCATATATCTTTGCGTCACAGTTGAGAAGGGAAATGGGTCTAAAGTTTTTACACTCTGTCGGTGGTTTCCCTGGTTTGGGCAACGTCGAGATATGGGCTAACAGTAATTCGTCCGGTAATGTCCCTTTTTGTATGCTGTGATTGAAAAGGTTCAGTAAATGGGGGGCTAGTGTTGTTTGGTACATGCGGTAGTAGGCGTTAGACAGACCATCTGGTCCGGGCGCTTTCTGTGTCGGGAGCGATGCAATTGTGGCAGATATCTCCTCTATGGTAATCGGGGTGAGAAGTGAATCCGCGTCTTCCTCGCTCAGAGACGGGAGCGTAAGGTCTGATAAGAACCTGTTTATTTCTGTGGTGGAGGGAGTGGGCACTTGTGGATCTGTGTTGAGATTGTATAATTTGCTGTAGTAGGTAGCGAACGTGTCTGCTATGTTTTGCGGGTCTAGTATTTTCCCTCCTTTAGCGTCCAGGAGGTGTGAGATTTTAGTAGCTGTGGAACGTGTTTTTAGCTGGGAAGCCAATTTGGCTCCTGCTCTGTTACCTGACGCAAAGAAGTTATATTTCATGCGTCTTAGCAGTGTCGTTGACTTGGACAGTTCCAAGTCGCGCAATTGGTTCTGCAGTCGTAAGATAGTGGCATGGTGAGTGGGGGTTGGAGTTAGTTTATTTGAGTGTGTGGCCTCAGCAAGTTCCTTCAGGATGTTAGTGTAGTTCTCGAGGCGTTTCTTTTTGGCGTAGCTAGCATGTTTAATGAAGCACCCTCTAATAACTGCTTTGTGTGCTAACCAGATTTGATCCGGGGTGGAATTTTGTTCTGTATTGTCTTGGAAGTAGTGCTGTAGATCTTGTTTAACCTGGTCTATTACACTCGGGTCTTTCAATAGCCAATCATTTAAGCGCCAGCTGCCTCGGCCTTTAGTTTGGAATCTTTCTGTCAGGGACATAGTAACCGGTGCGTGATCCGACCAACTAATGAGCCCTATGTGGGTACTTTCTATTTTGGGGAGCATCCTTAAGGGAACCAAAAAGCGGTCTATCCTGGAATAGCAATTATGTGCTGCTGAGTGGCAAGTAAAGTCCCTTTCGCTAGGGTGTTGTATGCGCCATGGATCTACGTAATTGTGTGCTGTAAGGGTGTGCCTAATGCGAGTAATTAGTTTCCTCCTGGTTTTGATGGTCTGGGACTGTAGGGGTTTCTGGTGTGAGGAGTCTAGACAATCATCTAACAAAAAATTTGTGTCCCCCCCCACTATCACCTCTCCAAAGGCGTGTTTGGTACAAAGCAACAAAACCAGTTCCAAGAAATCAATTTGCTGATCATTAGGGCTATACACATTTATAAACGTATATGGGTTGTTGTTAACATAGCATTGTAACACTATATATCTGCCTTTTTTGTCTCCAAGTTTACGAACTAGGGAGAAAGCCACATCTTTGCTTATTAAGATGGACACTCCTCTTTTCTTTTTTGCATAGCAAGCATGATAGTCTATGGGGTATGCTATGGAAGTAAATTTTGGACGTTGGCCCCATTTAAAATGTGTTTCTTGAAAGAATGCCACATGGGCATCTAGGGATTTAACCTCCTTTAGCGCTAGTCGCCTCTTGTGCGGAGAATTGAGCCCCTTGGCATTCAGGGAACAGATATTAAGCACCATGGTGTATGTTCAGCGGTCTCATGTTACAACTGGGATTGGGACCATCTAGCCCTCCCCTCGCGAGTCGGTGAATCTCCCACCCATCTGTGGGCGTTGCCCGGCGACCAAAGGTCCAGCATATATGTCGGTCATCCCAATTTATACCTGGTAGACAAGGTATATGTAGTGGCCTGGTATTTAGGTCCCATGGGTGGATAAAGTGGAGGGGTAATACTGGCATCCCTAGGGTCTTGAGAATAAGCCAAGTCTGTACACTAAAATCATGGTTATCAGAACACAAACACAAAGAAGAGGGTAAAAACATAAAAAAAAACATGCAAACTATGTACATAAAACCGTCGGTCAAACGAATTCGACCAAAAGGTGGAAAACGGTTAATGATGCGGCTCAAAATTAAGCCACTTTGGGGGGCAGGTGACCAGCAACAGATTGGTGGGTCTACGCACATAAAAGATCCGTACTGCTCCGTACGGTGTTACAATTGCTGAGACCATGACAAGGCATACACGGTTTAGGTATATACAGGCAGTGTTGTTCTCTATTGATTCTCTTGTTTTTTTTTTTCTCTTTTTTTTTTTTCTTGTTTTTTTTCTCTATCAACAGTAGTATAGCAGTGTGACATAGGTTAGGCACATCAAATGAGTATACTTATCGTCCCTTTGTAGAGGTCATGTAGGTTCTTGTGGTCGGCCGCGTGGCACTTGAGTCCAAACTTTATTTAATTTCACTGGTGATTTGGTGTGTTGTGGTGCGGGAGCCGTCGTGGTAGTGAGAGGAATGTCCCAGGCCCGCAATATTTTCCTTCCTTCTTCGGGAGAAGCAATACTGGAATCTGTCCCATTGCGTTTGATTAAGAGTCTGGTTGGGAAGCCCCACTTGTACTGAATATTTGCCTCTCGTAGTGCTGCAGTGATGGGGGCAAAGGCTTTCCTTTTCATCATCGTCGATGCAGATAGATCAATAAATAGCTTAATTTGATTGAATCGCCCCGGTGGGGGAGGGTTTCGTCGCGCTGCATGCATAACTCTTTCTTTAGTAGTAAAGTAATGTAACTTCGTGATTACATCTCTGGGGGTCTGTGGGCCCAGATGTTTTGGTTTGGGCAACCTGTGGGTCCGATCGAGTAAGAGCTCTCCATCCGTTAATTCTGGCACATATTCTTTAAAGATGCCTTGTACGTAGGATTGCAGCTCTTGCGGTGTGACTGATTCTGGGATCCCCCTCAGTCTGATGTTATTACGCCGATCTCTATCTTCATGGTCGGCCACTTTGTCTTCTAGCTTTTTAAGTTTGTCTTGTAGTTCAGTATAAGCGTCTGCCAGAGAGTTATGGGCGTCTGTTATTTCATCTGCCCTTTCTTCTAACTTTGCAGTCCTGTCTCCCACTTGTTGGATGTCTGACCTGATGTCTGATGCTATTTGCATGAGGTCTGTGTGGAATGTGGATTTGAGGTCTGCAAGTAAGGACTTGAGAGTGGCAGTTGTAACTGGGGCAGAGTATTCAGCCATGCTGTGAGCAGGATCACTTACTTCCGAAACGGAGGTTGGTGAGCTCGGGCCGTCGGCGCCATCTTGTCCCGCCATATCCAGCATGGTGGCCGAGGTGAGGTGCATTTGAAGCGTTTTCTGCTTCAACTTCTTGCACGATTTCGTCGCCATTTGTATCCGTGGTATGCGGCAGGTGTTTACCCGCCGTTCTGTTGTGTTTTGCGGTCGGGTGTACGCCGTGACTATGCTGCGAACACCATACAGCAGAGGAGCTCAGCACTCACGCGTCCGTCCTCGTCCGCCGCTAAGACACGCCCCCAGTTTACATTTTCTAAAGATAATTTGATATTTATAATGTACATATGTTCAACCTATGCTTTAGTCTTGTTTTGTGTCTTTTTTTTTTTATCTGCTCTACTGGATGAGTAAGGAACGCTTATCTACCTCATGCAGGGCGGAGATGTTATGATTTACGAGTGTAATTCCATCTATTCACAATCTTATTAGACAGATAACTCTCATAACCTGTTTATGTGAGCACATTCTATCATTACATGAAGTTACGTCTCCCGTGGAGAGGGCCATGATGTCTGCTCTAGACTTGACCTTGAACAGTTGATACAAAAGGATGCTAAAAAGATGACCATCACAATTTAAAGTGCACTGGTTCATATATTCATTATTGTAGCCAAATTGATGGTAAACTCTGACTTCTGGGGTGTGTGTATGTATGTATGTTGGTGTGTGTGTGTGTGTGTGTGTGTATATATATATATATATATATTTTATTTATTTTTTTTCTATGCATCAGACCAAATTCAAATAGCACACTGACAGCAGTCCGTTCCTTCAATTATCTAGGTATGTTGCTAGATCTTTTATCATGATTTACCACTGTTCGTGGTGTGTGTAGTGTTTTTATTTATTTATTTTTCAGCCGGCTGGTATGTAATTAAGCTATTTATAGGAGCTCAGCTGTAGGGTGATTAAGAGTTTCTACATCATATCTGATGAACATGGGGGCGCGTGAACAAAGAGGTAACCATGCCAGTTTTATTGAATAAAGTATTTAGCAGTTTTCAAAGGCTGCCAATCAACAAGCTTTTGACTCTTGTGCCCTTAGAAGCCATCACAGCCATGCCTATATATAAGCTGGAGTCACGAAGCGCCGCATGCACATGAGGTCTTATTAGTGTAGGGAGAGGATGCTGACGCTTTTAGGGACAGATTAGGAAAGAATTCTGCAAATTAGTGGGGTGGGTGCACTTCATATCTGAGAGTCAAATCGAAGCGTCAAATAGTGCGCTTACAACGCAGTTGTAAACATTCTAATTTTCTGGGTGCTAATCTGCTAAATAGTACATTTTGGGGCCTGCTCTCCATATCTGAGAGTCAAATCGAAGCGTCTAATAGTGCCCTTACAGCGCAGTTGTAAAAATTCTAATTGTTTTGCTGCTAATCTGCTAAATAGTACATTTTGGGGCCTGCTCTTCATATCTGAGAGTCAAATAGAAGCGTCTAATAGTGTGCTTACAGCGCAGTTGTAAAACTTCTAATTTTCTGGGTGCTAATCTGCTAAAAAGTACGTTTTGGGGCCTGCTCTCCATATCTGAGAGTCAAATCGAAGCGTCTAATAGTGCCCTTACAGCGCAGTTGTAAAAATTCTAATTGTTTTGCTGCTAATCTGCTAAATAGTACATTTTGGGGCCTGCTCTTCATATCTGAGAGTCAAATAGAAGCGTCTAATAGTGCGCTTACAGCGCAGTTGTAAACATTCTAATTGTTTTGCTGCTAAATAGTACATTTTGGGGCCTGCTCTTCATATCTGAGAGTCAAATCGAAGCGTAAATAGTGCGCTTACAGCACAGTTGTAAACATTCTAATTGTTTTGCTGCTAATCTGCTAAGTAGTACATTTTGGGGCCTGCTCTTCATATCTGAGAGTCAAATCGAAGCGTCAAATAGTGCGCTTACAGCGCAGTTGTAAACATTCTAATTTTCTGGGTGCTAAATAGTACATTTGGGGTGTGCACTTCATATCTGGTGTATGTGTGCAACAATGGCTAGTTACCGCTTCTCAAGAAAGTCTAAAGACAAATAAATGTTGCCTATGGCGCAGGTAGTATAGAAGGCAAGACTGAGACAAATCATTCTGGTTACGTTTGCCTGTTGACATGTTAATTATCTTAGACCATTAAAATTCAATAATCAATGAAAAAACACACTGTGTCATACAAAAAGACCTATTATAGACAAGTTAAAAGCAAGACTACAAGTTATGCTATAACAAAATTAAACAAGTTTTAAAATATGTATGGGCCAACCAGTGGCTGTAAAAACAAAGTTTTACTGGTTACATTCATGACTACACACTCTAGTGAACAGGACCTTCATGTAGTGTGTTCTTTTTTTTAACATCATACAGCATCCTTTCATGTGCTTTTCAGATGGCATATTGTTAATTACCAATTTTTGTTTAGCCTGATTTTTTTTTTTTTTTTTAAAGTGAAAAATAAGTGTTATTGTGATCACTTCATATACAGAAGCATTAATATACATTTCTATATTGTGTCAAGACACAAAGTTAAAAACCAAACACCAAAACAACGTGCCAGACAATCTACCTGTGCATGGCTAGTGTGATACAATAAGTCTACATCTTAAAAATGCAAACTGTGGATAAGGACTAGCGCTTATTTCTAACTATAGATTATATCAATATGTGCAAAAACAATCATATATAAAAGTGAGCAGCTAAACATTCATGTGACTCCTTACAATATTACTGGATAAATGTGTAAACCAAAATAGAAAAAGAATGTAGCGCTTTAATAATTAAGAATATAAATATCATCTTATTCTGTATAGGGGAGGAAAATTCTCACTTAGGTCCCAAATAAGTTAAGATCTATAAAAAAATAATCACAACATAGTGTAGATGGTAGATAGCAAAGACATATATATTTGTATATAAATATTAACACTCACAAACCCAGAGCTGCGGACTCAGCTCTAGTTTGAATCACTTCTGGGTCCGTGTAGGCGACCCACCCCTTAGATAGAAGTATAGCTGGTCCTGGAGGGGAATAGATATACAAAAGAAAAATTGCGCAGTATCGTTGATGAATAGGAAATCAAAGATAAAGTTCCCGAATGGGTACTTACAAACAAAGAGTCAGAATTGACTCAATATCCAGGCGTTGTGCAGGCTAGGGGCTGCACTCCCATTAGTAGAGTGGCGAATGTAGAACCAGGATAACGTTAATAAAATATAATACATTTATTAACACAATCTATAAATATAAAATAAAAATGGCATAATGTCCAGATAAAACCGGAACGCGTTTCACCACTCACATGTGGCTTCTTTAACCGTATCGATAAGCTGTCAGCCTTTTGCAGCCCTCTAGCCCTTTCCAGGACTTTTTTAGAGGCATTTTTGTCGCCATAAGTTCGGGTCCCCATTGACTTCAATAGGGTTCGGGGTCAAGTTCGATCACAAACCCAGGCTTTTTTCCAAAGTTCTGCCCAAACCGAACATCCAGGTGTCCGCTCAACTCTATTGACAAGTAATGTATATGTGTGTTTGCCATCAAGCTGAAAAGGGCTCGTTTTTTTTTTCTATTTTAAGACAATCCTGTCTTTGCCTCTACCTTCCACCCACTCACAGTGCCAAGTTAATGAATGCTTATGTTAATTCACAATTATAGTAGAATCACATTCATTATTCCATTGCCGAGTCTAACTGTGTAGGGATGCTGTCACTCCAACATTAGACTGATAATCCAGAAGCACAAAGAATATTATACAATGAATGGTAATTTTATTATTTAAACAGAAACTAGAATTTGATTTACGGGTCCCACAAATTTTATAATTTTGATGAACTTAAGAGACATTCTTGATCGAATTTACAACTACTAAATGGATCCTATAGTGCCAGTAGTTAAAAATTCCTTCAGCCACTTACCTTAATCCAGCACCGATGTCCCTTTGGCCCTGGGTCAGGCTCCGCCCACACTCCTCCCTCGCCGGCGTTAGTCAGTGCTTTCCTACAGGGAAAATCTGACGTTGGAGGTCCGTGAGGATGTCCAGCGTCAGATAATGGACCAAAAGTCAGTTTGTTTTTTTTGTGAATCTAGATGCTATATTTTTGCATATTGTGTTATGAGGTTTACTTGAGAACATTAACGTCAAATACAGCAAAGTTATATGTGTACAATTGTATGATATTGGTATGTTTTCTTCTGAATACACAAGTGTATCACATGTACACTGTAGACTCTGACATTGTATTTGTTTAACGTTTAGGTGAAGATATAATTTTTACACAATACCCTCTTGGAAGAGGTCAGATAATAAGGCATTGTACCCCTTTAGATATGCTATAAATCAGTCCGAGTACACCTTGTGTGTTGCTCAAATGATTCTACAACCCTGTGATGTACACGTTAAAGGCACGCAATACACGATCTACGAATGTTTTACTGCTGGTAATGACTACTCCTTTTTATTTATTTTTTGGCCAGTTTTTGAAGGAGGAACTGAATCATTAATCTGCTTAACTAAAAAGAATAGTTTTAACGAATATCTATGATGATGTCATGCTTGAGATCTTAGCTCTGTGATCTGCCAGGACAGGAAACGTTCCAAACCTCTGCTTAGATTTCACATTTGTTTTTTCTTTTTTACCACAGCGTAAAAACCAGCACTATATAACAAAATATATATTTTCTCTATATACTGGACAGATGTTGAACTTTGAGTCACTTTCCGTTGTGTCATTGTGTCTCAGGATATGCTGATTGGCATAGCGAGGGGATTTGCTGTGCTCAAATAATCGGGATTGACTATCTTCACCAGCTTAGGCTGGGAAACCTTGGCAAGTGGTACCGGAGAATAAAGAAGAGTGCTAGAAATACATATTACAGGCCTATTTCCTCTTAACATAGGCCCAAACTGGATATCACTAGGTTTGAGACCTCCCTTTCAATTGAGTTCTAATAAGAATTTTTTAAAAAGCCAACTCTTTATAATCGTACTGTTTAGGCTTCATTATGAGTATATAAGTTATGCTTTGGTTTTTAATATTAAAAAAAAAAAAATGTGTATTCTGTGAATGCATGCTTACCTGTACTTGGTTGAATTACTCAATGAAATTTTAAAAAACAAAACACTTTCATTAGATTCTTCGGAGGTGTCGGCATTATGTTGGGGGAGCAATGTTACAATATATATCTATCTTATTTTTCAGATTATTTACCTGGGGGCTGGATGGGTACTGGTTTTAACTGCTAAGTGACCCAGTTTTGGGTCCTGACCCAAGGTTTAAGAACCAGTGATGATAGGTGTTCTAAATTACCATGTAAATCCCGTTGATACATTTAATACACAGAATTTAACCATTTAGCCACTTTTGATGCAGGCGGCAAGAATTCTATCAGGATTCCATTTATTATGTACATTACTGTAAATAAGGAACAATGAATCATGGCAGCATTGCTCTAGTTCACATTGTTGTGTTGTGTTATATGAGCTTTTCCGTGTGCTGTTTATCTTCCTTCCTCTGTAGAGTGCAGGAGGGGGGAGATTCTGTCCATACACTGTTCCTGTCTCTTCTCAGCTCTTAATGATGTTTGGTCAAACAGAATACATTAAAGTCAGGGCGTGTGTAAACTTGGAGGTTTATTCACTAAACAGTGAATTGTGAACACTGACTAATTTGAGACGCCTCCTGAATCCAGTTTAGAAAATTTGGGTCAACATTGCGGAGTTGAACACATAGTAACATTTACCCCGGCTCAGGCATTTATTTATTTTTTAGCTTGGATAATTTGGCCTAGGTTTTGCAAGCGTTATGTTAAAGGTACACTCCAAGCCTCATCTGTGGCGAAAGTGACCTTGCCACTGGTTTTTGGAGGGGCCTGTTTGCCAGCCTCCTGCCCTGCGACTATGGCCCTGGGATGTATTGCCCTTCTAGGAACTGATTTGGTCATATTGTATTTTATTATGCTGCTGCTGGTCCTTTAAGAACCATATGGGGACATACTGTGGAGTTACTGGGTGGCCACCATTTCATGTATCAGATGCACATGGTGAGAACAATGGATGAAGCACATGGTGAGAACAATGGATGGCGGCCATTTTAACTCACAGACACTGTTTGGACTTTTCTACACGGTGCCATCTTGCAGGTATTTGGTGCCCCAAGACATCGTGCAGTAGTTTTAAACTATACAACAGGGGACACATTATACAGTAATAATTTTTCATATAGCCTGTATATGTTCTGCTGAATCTGCATTAAACTGTATCTTCCAAACTACTGAACGGATCTGGGTGAATTTTGGATATGTGGTTCACCCAGATCCCCCGGTTCCGAGGATATTTTTTATGGGGTTATTGCATGTTTTGGGGTCCCTGTGATATGTTTTATAATACTGTATTTCTCTGTCTGTGATAATTATATTAACCATTGTGTTCAGTAATCATATCACAGGCAGAGGGGAGGATTTTGTATGGGAGTGTCTGTGTGTATTGTACGGATTGATTGGTTGTATTTCAAAACCCTGTGGGCAGTACTATGTTTGTAGAATGTGAATAAAAGAGGCTGTATGTGCCAGTACAGGCAGTTCTACTTCACCCTCAATCTAGAGTCCTGTCTCTTATTGGGGGAATTGCTATATCACTACAAGGGATTGCTATGCTCTGCATACTCCCTTAGGTAATCACTACTAAGCTCTTTTAAGAGCTTGTTCCTCCAGGAACCCACTGGAACCTGGAGCCTTGTCTTAGGTCCAGGGTGGGTAGGTGACGGCGAGACCCCAACCAAGCTGCGGTGGTTAGTGGGGTCTGCGGTGGTTGTGGTGTCTGCTGAGCGCTTGGAGCACTCTGTAAGCGCTAGGAGCATCCTTCAACTGAGGTACCCAGTCAGGGTGCCAGGTGATCCGTTACATCATCCATTTTAGGATTGTGAGTGAGGGTGTGGTCATGGGCATTGAGACATTTAAAGGGACTTGGTAATAACAATTTATGCAACAAAAATGTAATTAAAACCAAGAACAGTGTATCTTTCTTACACAGACTGATTTCTAAACACATAAACTGTAGTTTAAAGACACATTACTGTGAGTGCTATTGCTCTGCTATACACTCGGACTCCCCTACAATTTGGAACTAGAATAAGGGACATTTGGAAAGAAAAGCGGGACAGAGATTTTAGTTGAATTGTATTCCTCTGCAAGATATAAATACATCAGATGGAACACTTATTTGCTTTACGCTTTCAAATGTTTTTCGTATGAAGCCCTGAATGAGCTTAGTTGGGCATGAATCATTGGAAAAGCCACATTGAATTGAAATCGCTTCGTTATGTGTGCAATCAAAGTGATTTAAATTTATGGAAATCTCTCTTTGGGATATAATGTCTTTGAAACGACAATTCATGTAGTGATACAATCTAGCATCCACAGAAACTGAGAAACATTTACAACAAGACCTGGGGTTCAGATTCAGGAGGGGACATAAGAAAAGTCAAAATGGCAGATTATCCATCATAGAGCTGTTTAGCATTGTGAAGCAAAAGATGAAACGTTTAAAAACAAAAAAGCTGATGGTCAAACAAGAGTGTAATGTATTGGTGTAGATACCATACCTTATATTTTTCTGTCTGTGCACAGACTTTTTAGGCATTATGCTTAATAATTCATGGACATTTGTCACCTAGGGTCGTGGTGAAATAGTTGAGATAGAGAATTATTTCATAGCAGCAGGGTTTTTTGGGGGGGGGAGGGGGGGCAGGGGTAGGGTTTGCCTATGTTTTGCATTCCACTGCGAATCACTACAATTTGGTGTTTAGTGAATCAACCCAACTGTGTTGACTTTAATATGTAATAATTGAGATCAGCCATAAGCTGCTCCTTCCTTGTGTACAGCCAAACTAGAATTGCAGTAATAACACACATGTTGCGCTCAAACTCCCACTAATCTTGCATGCCTACCAACATTTGGATGGATGAAATCGTGATGGCTGAGCAGGCCAAAATGGTGTTGGTATGATGCCTTGCATCACAGATGATACCCAAAATTGGTGGTCCTTACAGAAAACAGACTATTACCAAAAAAAATTAACATTTTAGTCACAAAACCCTTAATTGCACTTAAACCTTGTGTGTTGTACCTGGATATCCAATTTGTTGCCCCTCCAATATGAAATGACAGCAGTGGATATTACCCATAATGAAATAAATAATATGAGGTTATTCAATAAACTCTGAATATCAACAAATATACTGAAGTATGACCATATTTAAGATATTCTTGCCAACTGACTATAGCCTACAGTTGTTGGAGAGTTTTTCCGCATTCACTATCTTGGCCTGTGTTATGTAGTTTGGCTTTTAATACAATATTCAGTTTTGTGAGTAACTCTGCTATATTAACAAGAATCAAACAGAATGGTCGTTCCACATCAATGAAACTCACAATAACCTGACCATAGGTTCTATTCCTGTGAACCTCTGATTTAGAATTTAGCAAACTCTTCATACCTTGTGTAATTAAAGCGACACTCCACTGCCAAAATAAATAAAAAGCACTGTTTAGTAGGTACACCCCCATTTTCCACCATGTGTGTATCTAAAATAATTTGCAGAAGTTGTATATTTCTTGTCTGTAGCTATTGCAAACCCTCCCCTTTTGACCCGCCCAGACTTTCTGTGGCTGTCCAATCCGACTTCCCAATACATCTCAAGTCTTTGTAAGGTGGATGCTCTGAGCAATTGCAGCCTTTTGAGTTTAGCTCCACTGAGCTAACCAAACCAGGAAGTAACAGGACACACTTGTCACACACAAAGCATTTCAGCACGTTAAATTGCTTTAGGCACCTGGGGTGTCCCTTAAAGAGACAATATTGTCAGGTCTCATAGGCTGTGCATGCATCACCATCCCTTTTTACTAACTGTACCAATGTTGCATCATATACCCAGCCAACTATTATACAACTCTATCCACATTTTGGCATAGCAACTGCAAGCGCTATGGCACTGTGCTCTACCACATTTCATTCGCTAATTGTTTTGTCTTTGAATTCTTTCCATTTTCAGTAATTCCTACTTCTGCGTATTTAACTAGCATGTTATTTTTCTTTTATTTTTTGTTATGCAAGTGTTTAGTGAAGAAGGAAAAAAAACTAAATTAAATGTTGTAGGCAAGATTTGTTCTCTGCGAGAAAACCAAACAAAAGCCTTTTTTATTTTATTTTTTTTAAAATGTGTTTCCTGCTGCTTCCCATCTACCCAGTACTCCTAATTATTCTCACCGAGGGTTGTACAGAAAAATTCTGAAAAGCACCTTTAGAGAAACCGTGCATAATGCAGGCTAATTATACCTAGCTTTATACATGGCCTCACTCCTGAAATAAAACAGACTGTACGTTGCTAATGTTCCCTTTGCTGTTTCACATTGAACAAAAAAAAAAAGCACAACATAAAGAGTTCTACTGCGGCGTCAAGTCCAATGGATTTTCAATTTAGCCGTGTACAAAAGCTGTGTTGAAAGCCTACCACTCCAGGGTGGTGTGAGGGTTATTTTGCTCAGTTCTGTAGAGACATTTGCATTTTCTTTTCCCTTACGTGCTAGAACAGAGAATTGCTAAACTTCAAAGTAATTACCCAAGTATCTGTGCAGGTTATAGACTATAATGCCATTTTAATTATTATTGAACAAGAACCGGAGAAAGAAATAAGAACAGAGTGGGTATCTTCAGGTAAAACAAAAATATAGATAACTTGTCTGCATTTATCATATTCTATATTGATTGATATAGGTCCAAATGTGGCTATACGTATACATCATATTATTGCTTCTATATTTAAGGCATTGTCGAATTATACAGTAGAATCACAAAGATGCGGATCTTATTACACATCTTATTGTTCAACTCATTAAGAGCAAATACTGGTTTATTATGCAATTATTACAATGTCTCTAATGAGGTCCCTTTGCTGACATGATATGTTCTACATATCTGTCATCCCTGGCTTTGCTTCCTGCTGATTAGGACGCTCTCTGCTGGGATACAATCTTGAGTAGAGATGCACCGAAATGAAAATTCTGGACTGAAACCGAAAATTTAGGATGCCCTTGGCCAAAAACCGAAACCGAAAATAACTTTTTTCCCCCAAATGATTTTAAAATAGTGTTTTTACAATAATTTTATTAATGTTGTACTTTGCTAAATCCCTGCAGGGGAGAATTGATACAGACGCAGGTATGTCCTCCTGCACAGCGTGAGGACGTCCAGCATCAGTTAGTCGACTTTTGGTCGCCTAACCACCCGGAAGTCCCTCTGGTAGACTAGAGGTGGAGTTAACCCCTCAAAGTAATTATTGCAGTTTCTCAGAAACTGCAAGAAATACACTTGCAGGGTTAAGGGGACTGGGACCCTGCACACAGACCACTTCAATCAACAATGAGTCAGTTTTGCACCTAATGCTGCAATGTTAAACATTGCAGTGCCAGAGAACTGTATTGTTTACTTTGCAGCACTAAGTCTGCCCTCAGTGGCTGTCTACCAGACAGCCACTGGGGGCGCTTCCGGAATCGTAACAGACTTTTGGTCCGTTATCAGACGCTGGGCGTCCTCACGCTCTGCATGAGGACCTCCAGCGTAAGATTTCCCCCCATAGGAAAGCATTGATTCAATGCTTTCCTATGATGAGGTGTAATGCGAGACCCCGCTTGTCACGGGACGGAGGAGGGGTAGAACTTCGATTCAGCATCGCGGGACATCGGCACTGGGATAAGGAAAGTAAATAAAGGATTTTTAACCAATTACTTAACAGGGAGGAGGAGGCAAAGGGATCGGTAGTGCCAGGAATACAGCTTTGTATCCCTGGCACTACAGTATCCCTTTATGCACACACACTCAATGACAAACACACAGACGTCACTGACAGACTCACAGATTTGACACACACACATTCCCTGACACTCATTGGCAAATACACACTGACAGTCACATACACACACACAGACGTCACTGACAGACACAAGCTCACTGATTTGACACACACATATTCAATGACACACAGTCACTCATGAACAGACAAACAATGACAGACACATGGATAGTCACACACACACTCAATGACAGACTCTCACTGATTTGACAAACACTCACATACACACATACACTCACATACACAAATTATTATAAATTAAATTAACATTTTCCACCCAGCCTGCCCACCTGGAGAGCTGGCGTGGATCGGTCCCTGGGGTCCAGTGGGGCTGCTGGGAGGCATGCGGCTGTGATTTAGTCAGAGGCGGTGAGGGAGTTGTGATCTCCCTGCTCTGCAGAGCAGGGAGACCTGGTTAGTACCGTCCAAGTCAAATGCTTAGTTTGCCTTGGGCTAATTACACCCCCTTCCCCTGCGTGCGGTTCGGCAGCTGAAGTTTCAATACGGTGGCAATAATCTTTCTGACTCTGCGAGTTAAAGAGTAGAAAGGGTTATATATAAGCCCATCTGTTCCATTATGACCTATGTGGTCTTATACCTGTTCCTGAAAAATCTGCCTCACCCCTGACATAATCTGCTCAAAAACATCTTTTGGCGCCTATGGCCATAGTAGTCTGAAAGTGCCTGATCTCGTCAGATCTCAGAAGCAATCCATACTCGGCGAGCCTGGTTAGTACTTTCATGGGAGACCAACTAGAGGGGGGAAAAAAACCTATTAGAAAGCTTGTTCTGTAGAACCATTCTCCACTGAGATCATTCGAATCTCCTTGGATTTTATTAAAGATTAGCAGTTGCATGGAGTGTTTGTGAATGATTTCTGTAACGTCTGGTTATTCTATACCCTATCTTGTGTTTTTGTTTTTTATACTGAAAATATTATTAATATTAATAATAATATTAATTATTTTTTTTAAATTTTTGGTGAATTAAATCCGTTTATCTACTATCATCCAGTATATTTAACTACTAAAATAAAAAAAAGAATAGTGTAGCTAAATTGCAGGTTAATTAAATTTTTTACTGATTTAAAAACTAAAGTGAAAACACTTCTGAGAGTCACTATTAGGGTGATGTCTGTTATTGAGACGAGTATTGCTGTAATAAATATGGCACAAACCACCGGGGTCTCTATTAGAAAATGTGAAGCTTTGTCTGGCTGCATTCAGGCTTCAGAGAACATCAAATTGTGGGTGTAAAATACTATTTTGTGCTGTGTTATCATGTCAGGTCTTTATATACTGCCCACGGTTACGGAAATGCCAATGCAACAAAGGAACAGGCGGCTTCAGTACAATGGGCTGAAGTGGTTTGGGTGCCTACAGTGTCCCTTCAAGGTTGGGAGGAGTGAGGTGTCCCCAAACTTTTTATTTTTATTTATTTGTATATTTTTAGGACTCAACCCCTTTGTGGAGGAGTGTCATTGCCATGGTGAATGTAATATTTCACATGTTGAAGCAGAGTTCGTACAGTTCAGTTGATGGACTTGCCATTTCCAATAACCGAATGAGACGTAGAGTGAGCATACGATATTCTGTTTGCAGAAAGCTGTTTAGTGCCATCCTAACGTGTGCATCAGTCACGCTGCCGATAAAATGACTTTGTTACACATGAAAGCATTGGAAATGTTCCGTAGACCTTATTTGGTGTTCGTGCACCCTCCCTCACAGAGGATACGAAACCAGAAATGCCATTCACTGTGTACATCGTTTAGATCTGGAATATACTCCTGAATTGTACGTGGATTATAAATAAATAGGTGTGTGGATGTATGTATACACCTTTACAAATGAAGAAGATGTGCGTTAACATTCCAAATCAACTAAAAAAGGGTTCCTTGTCGCATATCTGTTCGTGATGTCCAAAAATAACATTTAATGTAATTTAATTATTTTCTATTACATCGCTATCCTATTAATCCACGTTGGTTTATATTAGTCTCCTTTTGTATTTGTTTTCTAATAGTATATATAGAGAGGTGTTTTGTTTTGTTTTTCTCTACCCTATCCCTTAACATACAAAATTATAGTGAGCGCTCAACTAGTTAGGGTAATTTGGTGAACTATGTGTTTTTTTTTTAAATTCATACAGTGAATTAATAAAAGCTATACAAAGAAAGTGCAATAAATAGTACAGGCATGTAAACAATTGCTAACATACCCATAACCACATCAAGTATAGTATAAAGCGCTTAAAATTGAAACTCATATACCCATAACTCCACAGGCATACTGACCTAGAGCAGGAGATAATTCAATCCCAAAGTTTTGGCGTTTTCACAAGAGTGCCTATACAAGTATAAAATATATAAATATTTCTCTCTCCCTGCATGCGCAAAAGCACAGTATTAAGGTCTATGGTGAAGAGTACATAATGGAGATGTATGGTGAATCCCGCAAGACCACAGAATCATCCATAGACACAGCCTATTTCCTGCAGCAGTCACTGATGGGGAAACAAAAAAAATTCACCCTTTTTATTCCTGTACTTGGGAAGGCTCGCACCTTCTCCAGTGAAGTCCTGATGATTTTTGTCCACTCAGATGCTTCTTATAAAGAAGTACAGAGGACACATGGAGCATGTGTGGCAGCTGGCACGATCTGGAGAGTTCCAAGCTAGCTAATATCAATTATGTCCATATAACAGAGGTTCATTCATTTACACTTAGAGTTAAAGCTCTGCAAGTGATTTTCAAACCTAAACTTTGCAACAATTCAATTTTTAGAGTATGGCAAGGCTTGGATATTGTTTGATTGCTTTGCTCTATATCAGGGGTGGGCAATATCCGGCTCTCCAGATGTTTTGGAGTACATCTCCCATAATGCTATTCGGGTCATAATGCTAGCAAAGCATCAAGGGAGATGTAGTCCATAACATCTGGAGGGCCGAAGATTGCCCATTACCTGGGAATGTTGCCGCAGTACTCCTACTATCACAGCAGGATGTAGTGGTTCTTATGCTCGGAGTAACCATTATTGATTCCATCGATGGCAGAAAACAAAATAGTCAAACAGGACCCCGGTATCAGAACTGTCCTGGCAGATTTAGGACATAACCGCTGACCATATATTTCAATTTCCAAAACTGGTATGGGTAACGGCCACCCCTTTATTTAAATCATGTAATAATTTTCAGCTGTTGGGTGGTTAGCCCAACAGACCGTTTTTCTCCCACCTTATTGCCATGAGCCCTAACAGCCGGCACTTGCCATCAGCCTCGTTCAGACTATAGTCTTCCTCCTTTTTGCGGCTATGTAGTCCAGGAAGTGCCAGCTGTGACAAAACAAAACAATAGGGAAAAACTCCACGCCAATACCATAACCAGGGAGGGAGGTGGAAAAGTCAGTCAGGATCCCTCAACTTTTCCTGCTGACTGGTAAGTCCCAACCCCCAACTATTCCTTAAGAATCCTCCTTCAGATTAGCAACTATATATTGTCTTAATTCCAACCCACTAGGTATGGGCAGCGGTCATACGCCTCCTTCCCCAGGCGTCCAGGGGTAAAACTGTTGAGGGCTACTCTTTAATGTATGGGTGTTTTTATATGTAAATTCCAACCCATAAGTATTCCTGATAATCACATGATTATCATAAAACATATTTTCTGAATAGCCAGCTTTATTTCTACAAATAAACACAACCCTCTCCTTTTCTGTTTTTCCCATTATTCCTAAACAGTGTATATCCTTTTTATTAACTGCCCAGGCACGTGTTTCATCCACAGCGATACCAATTATGTCCTTGTGTTTCCCATGCTGTAAGTCAGTCTTCCTACGTAAGCAGCAGGTAATTTAAATACCAAATACTTTATCTGATAAATTTATATATAATGTTGGAAGGCTTATGTTGCAAAGAGTGGGTACTCAGGAACCATGAGATTTCTGTCTTATTTTTTTTCCTTGTACAGAAAGCCACAAAATAAATTTGTGGCTCATTTTAAGTCTGAGCTGATGTAATTGAAACAATTGTGGTATCTTCAGCAAATCACTCTCATTCCTGTTATTCCTAGCCAAGCACCGGGAGGGTTCTGTCACAAGATGAATAGAAAACAAGAGATGTCACATAGGAATACTGTACACAAGCCTTAATATCTATAGAAAGGAAAGATCCCCCCCTCCTTCCACCGTGTGTGGATCTGTGAAGTATATGGACATATGAGGTTATCCTTTTGAATTCCAACACAATGTTTATTGCTAAGTAAAATGAACGGTGTAATGTCAGAACATAACATAATGTAGTTTGCGGAAACCGTGCGAAAACAACATTTCCAGGAAAGAGATTGCATAAACAACTGAAAAATCTGTGTAGCAACTTCTGTCGTTAGAGTGAATAGAATATTAATTTTATGACTTTGTGGTGGATTGATCCTCATTTAGCTAAAAAGAGATAGTACAATTATACAAAATACATTATTAAAAGAAATCTCATTCTAACAAAGAGTTCTGTACCCAAGAACAGTATTCTTTATACTGTGATTTAGTTAATTCTGGGATAACAGGCCACCTAATCTTGTTACAGTGGTCTGGGTGCATTGTCCTTGTCCCCTTAAAGGACCACTCTAGGCACCCAGACCACTTCAGCTTAATGAAGTGGTCTGGGTGCCAGGTCCTTCTAGGGTTAACCCATTTTTTTATAAACATAGCAGTTTCAGAGAAACTGCTATGTTTATGAATGGGTTAAGCCTTCCCCCTAATCCTCTAGTGGCTGTCTCATTGACAGCCACTAGAGGCGCTTGCGTGCTCCTCACTGTGATTTTCACAGTGAGAGCACGCAAGCGTCCATAGGAAAGCATTGTAAATGCTTTCCTATGCGACGGGCTGAATGCGCGTGCAGCTCTTGCCGCGCGTGCGCATTCAGCCCAGGAGGAGGAACGGAGGAGGAGAGAAGGAGGAGAGCTCTCCGCCCAGCGCTGGAAAAAGGTAAGTTTTTAACCCTTTCCCCCTTCCAGAGCCGGGCGGGAGGGGGACCCTGAGGGTGGGGGCACTATAGTGTTTTCCTGGCACTATGTGGTCCTTTAACCTTGCAAGTGAAAACATTACAGTTTGAGAGGAACTACATTGTTTACATTGCAGGGTTAAAATACGTTCTAGTGGCTGTCTCCAAGTCGCTTCCTGGATTTCACGGATGTTAATCTGCATGAGGACGTTTAGCATCTTCAAAATACCCATAGTAAAGCATTGACTGAATGCCTTCCTACAGGAAAGCACTTATGCTCATACGGCACTTACTGCCAACTAAATGGTTGATTTTGCACTATAGGGTCAGAAATACATGGTTGTGTTCCTTTAAGGACATGGTGCTTACTGTAGTATTAGGAATACAGTTTTGTATTCCTAACGTTATAGTGTTCCTTTAAGGCTTTGTTCAGGCGGCGGACTAGGGGACAGCCAAACTGACAGGGAGAGATAATATATTACAGGAGGTCAGAAAGATAAGTCTGGCAGCTGCATTCGCTATGGACTGTAAAACCAATTAGTAGTGAGTTGCAGTAGTCATCCGAGCATGAAGAAGCATTTTAATTGTATCAGGTGTAATAGGCAGAAATCGTGTGTTAGCTGAACGTCGCAGAATGTGGACATTGATTGGATGTGTGAAGTAAAGTAACAATATTATAAAAAAGCATGCCAAGTCTCCAAGCCGAGTTGATGATGGCACCAGTGATTTGAGACAGGGGTTCAGAACCTTTGTGTCTCTACCAGCGCAGAGTATCGGGGTATATAAAAGAATATATAGCTAGATAAAGGTTCATATATTCATCTGAACAAAATGATATTTCCTGTGGGTGGCAGCCATGGCAGCGATATTTCTGTCTCATCCTTTCCATACCTATTATGGGCTTTCCCTCCCCTACTACCAAGCTTTGCCATGTCCATAAAATCAATTATGCCTGTGAAGTTTAACTTTCCTTTTGGGCTGGCCAATTTGCTAGCAAGTCACTGCCAATTTGTTTGCAGAAGGCATCTTGTCATTTCAAACCACTGATAACCGGCAGTTTCTCATTCAGTGCACCGTAGAGGCGTGTGGCTTAACATATATGTAAGGTCTGTGTTAGATCTTCTATAGATCACCTTCTTGTACTATGGGACAGTGCCGGTTTAACTATCTGGACCTTTTTTTTTATTTTTTCTTAACCATTTAAATATAACCGGTGTGCAGACTTAGAGTTAAAGCTCTGCAAGTGATTTTCAAACCTAAACTTTGCAACAATTCCATTTTTAGAGTATGGCAAGGCTTGGATATCGTTTGATTGCTTTGCTCTATATCAGGGGTTGGCAATATCCGGCCCTCCAGATATTTTGGAGTACATCTCCCGTAATGCTATTCGGGCCATAATGCTAGCAAAGCATCAAGGGAGATGTAGCCCATAACATCTGGAGGGCCGAAGATTGCCCACCCCTGCTTTATATCATCATCTTACTAATAGGACATCAAGAAGGGAATGAAAACTGTACTGCAACCAGTTTGTGAATTGTTTTTATTTTTTATGTAATGGTAACAAATTCTTTTATCTGTTTTGCAGGGATGCTGCAGAATGGGAAGAAATTCGACTCCTCCAGAGACAGAAACAAGCCTTTCAAATTCAAGATTGGACGAGGGGAAGTGATCAAAGGATGGGAGGAAGGAATTGCACAGGTGATTGCATTACATGAAACCATTTGTACACACCTGTGTTTGTTATTGATCAGCGTTAAATAAAGTCAATGTGTACTATGAGGGGGTGGCGATGAACGCAAAATAAATGTTTCTTTTTCTTTAAAGGGTTACCCCATGCACCATAACCACTTCACTGATTTGATGTGGTCATATTTTTGGAGTCTGCATGTGCAGAATTTCAGTAAGAGATAGTGAACCTTTCTGCCAGGAGGTATAAGTTTACCTTCAGCAGGGTCATTCGCAGCCTGCAATATGCGTGTTAAAGGTGTTCTTTGTCAGTGCACGGATTACCAATGGTGGCATGGTCCTCCCCATCTGTACCTCCCTAAGTTCTTCTAAGTTCTCCATCAGCCCTGACTTAAGGATATCCCTCCTGCTATAGTGCAGGGTAGTGATGTCGGGATTGGCCTACAGGGAGAACTTGGTGTACGCGCAGAATTATGAATTTACGTTTTTCTTTTCTCAATGGTGGCAGACCCTACCAGTAAGGATTACCCTAACAAAGAAGCTTTTATTAAAACACTGGTATTAGTTTAATTTAGTTGGAAAGTAGAAAGATTCAGGGTTACGTTTATGAGGAGCAATCCTGGGGGAATATTCCATTTCTGTCCACGGTGACTGCTCCATTGAATGTTTGCCCCCAATTACACTTCATAAATTAACCCCAACAGTACTTGCGGGTACAGAGGAGAAAACAGATCATCAATTTTGGTGTTTAGTTAAATGCCACAACATCTGAGGATCTACCTGTTGGGCAGCCCTGATCTAAAGTTACACAATAGGGAACATGTCGTTAACCCTTAAATCACACCAGCAAGCTGACTTGCTTTATGGGTTTGGAGATTTCCTCTCTAATTTGAATGACTTTTAACTTTGTTCTTATATAGAACAGATTGTTCCCATCTTGTGAAACATTTAAAAAAAATAAAGTGAACAGAAGGTGAAAGCGCACAAACAGTGGCATATTTTACCTTTAAAATCTTGTATAGGTCCTATTTTCAGCAACAGACAGTAACTGTGGACCCTATATATAATATATACAAGAAAACAACATAGTGTATACTGTTGAAACCTATTTACAATATGTGGAGAATAAAAAAGGTTCACTCACACTTTCCAGAGCCACACAAGTTAGGCTCTGGATCTGATCCTCCTCTTAGATGTTTGTAATATGTTTTTCTTAGCAGGAACTCAGGAACCAGGTAAGGTGAAGTGTTAGAATAAACATTTATTTGGTATAAAATAATAAAAGCAGAAATGGCTGACACAGCAGCTAGCAGAACGCGTTTCGACCCTCCTGGATCTTTTTAAAGTGCAGTATATCCTCCCATTTGCTGACCCACCTATATATGGCTAAAATTTACTATATTGGAGACAGGTGTAGCAGCAGGAAATGGTAATTGAATGTCCATATTTGGTCATTGCAGGAAGCATCTCACCACCACTAAGATAAAAGAGAGAGAGAATATAGTAAGAATAATTTCATTAAAAAGACAATGTAATAGCAGATACCTATTTCAATAAGAACTATATCCTTCGCCCAAACGTATGAAGTAAATAATAAATACATAAAAATATAAATACAAAAAAAAAAAAAAAATCTGGTGTGGTGACAGTGAAAGGGCCTTCCTACACAGACTATTTTTAGCCGTTAGAAATATCTGCGACTGCCATGGGCCCTTCATGACATGGTTAGTAATTACTGCTTAGTCAACTATTCATTAAATAAAAAGGAGACTTTTTCATAGATGGATGAACGTTTTGCTGTAGCAGAAAACCATTTTGTAGAGCGATGTCCCTCTTTTGCCTTGGATTCTTAACTAATCCTGCTTGGATGGAATATTTTAGATTGCAAGCATACTGCACAGGGAAATCGGATCATTCATCACACAGCTTGCTGCCAGGGCAGTACGTCTGTTATCCTAATCAGTGATTCTATATTTTCTAATTCTGTTTGAAATGGCGTGTCTTAAATCCATAACGGACTCTCGCTTACCATGGCAGTAGCTATATATTAAATTATATGACTGTGGATTTTTATGTATTTTTCTTTTTTTTCACATCACTGCCAATTAGGCAGTTCACTGAGATAAATGTTAATTATACTACAGAATAATAAGTGACATGAGGGACTGCTCCCATAATTTATTAACCAACCCATTGTACATCGCTACGGAATTTGCTGGCGCTATATAAATAATAAAATAATAATATGGAGATTGCAAAAAAACAAAACATAGAAATGCACAGTGGTCAGGTGTAAAGGTATTTCCTAAGTAACATTTTTCAAATTGGGACATCAAGAACATCCCTTTAGTTTCCGTGGTGACTGCCCCACATTTACATTTATTGCAAAAAAGAGAGGGCTCTTGGGATTTGAAAGTAATTTTAAATGTTTTTATTCACATAAGTCAACAACAAAAAATAAGTATCCGTTGATGTTTCAGTTTACACTTGGACTTTTTATTTTATTCATTTTTTTAAGAGCTTGAAACATCGACAGATACTTATTTTTATTTTTTTGTTTCCTTATGTGAGTAAAAACAACAGCAGTAACTAGGTTTCAAATGCTACAGAATGTAAACCAGTACACTATTCTACTGTCATTACAAAAAATGTTTCAGTCAAATAAGTCCGCATGATTACCTTAAAACATGGTAAATCTAACCTCATTGACAGAAATAACAGGACTGAAAAGATTCATCTCCTGGGCCACCCTGTTCACAGCGCATCCACCCAGCGTGTCATTGCTGACCAGCACTGGATAGGTTGATGGAGACATTCTCTTCTGCAGATATGCTGGGCTTGAAAATTGTGTAACACCACTACTTTCACCCAGCCGCAATGGCAGAAATATGGGATTTGATACATCATTGCTTGCAAAAAGCAGGAATCACCAAAATGGTACAGAACTCCTCAGGTCCTCCAGGTCATTGACTTTTCTTGTGATGGTAAATGGTGGAGGTGCCAAAACAAACTCTGAACATTACTTCATGTTTGGTGGGAGTGCTAAAAGATAGTACAGATTTGGCAGAAGATCCCTGCCATCATAATGAGGTTTACTGACAACCCCTCTCTCCCACTTCTAACCAGCCTCTTATTCGTTCCACCATACCACAGCAGCTACCTCTGCTACTTCTATTCTGGTTAAAGGTGGACCTTCCTTTCTTGCAGCTTTGTATCACCAGAATGGAGGAGCTCAGAGTCTTGGAGGAGCTGGTGTACAGTTCATCCGTGCACGTGTAGACATACACAGCAATCTGGGCTCGGTAGCTGGAAAGCATAGCTAGGGGATGTTTAGAACTTTATTATAAAAGTATTGGGGATTCCCAAGATTATCAGGGTGAACCTGGCCCTAAACACCCTTTCCCCCTTTTTTTCTGACTTTTTTTTTAATTGTTCTCTTCGATTATTTAGCACATTAAAAATGTAAAATGTCAAAAAGGTTGGTTAACTGGCTATTTGTACTATTGCACTGAACTCTTATTTTATGTTTATTTTTATGGATGTACTGTCCTTACAGTTTTTTGTTTAAAACTGTGTTGATGTGTTAAATTTCAAAATAGAAATAAATGTAGTCATGATGTATATGCATTAAATAAACTCTGCCATTTTCTTTTTTTCCTGTTCCTCCCCAAAACACATCCTCTACACCAGATGAGCTTGGGTCAGAGATCAATGTTGACCATCACACCTGACTTTGCGTATGGAGCAACAGGACACCCAGGAGTCATCCCACCCAACGCTACCCTTCTCTTTGATGTGGAGCTTATGCGAATAGAGTGAACTGCATGGAGAAAGGGCTGGCCAGAGATCTAATGACACCACCATCATCCTCTTCCGTTATTTACAGCCCTCCTCCCTGCTGGAGCGGATTGCCAGATGTCCACTCCAGCAGCGAGAGGGTAAACAAGTCTTCACATTTAAACGCTCGAGCTGACAAAGGAGGCAGTGACAGCGTTCTCTGCAGCCTCCTCTGACAGCAAAGGGCTTAACAGTGGGACAGGGTTGCACTTAGGTGGGTTGTGAGCAATCTATAAGGGACAGACTGATTCTGATAATAATCACTAGTTTAAGCACATGAACCAGTTTTCCAGAGGAATTCTGTAGATATATCTTGGGCACATCCATCCCCAATAGATGGAAAATTAAGTGAACAGAACTACTGTTGTGGCATGAAGACAAGATGTCCTTACATTTGACTCGGAACCTAGAAGTGACCCTGTCTTCTGCTTCTGAAAGAGGTAGTCCCAGACAGCAGGGGATCTAAATTTAGAAGACTACTACATTTGTGTTGGCTTGGAAGGGAAAAAAATACGTACACTAAAAGTGAAACCTTTATTTTATATTTTTTTTTTTAACCAGTTTTATAGTAATTACACCTGGTAATGGTGATGTAAAGTTAAGTATAAAAGTATAAGGAAATTACAACAACATACTAAGTTTTGCACCATTATTTGGTGCATATTTAAACCAATTTAAGTTGCTTGTCTCATACAGGTGCATTTTTTCACAATGGTTTGTGGGTACCAAGCAAGAAACTGCTTGATGTACTTGTGGTTTCACGAAACTGTGATTTATGGTAACCCAGCACCTTTGTCAATTTCATGGCAGCCTTCTCATTGTATTTCATACAGAATGATATATGTGATGTAATGTAAAATCCACGTTTTTTATCCCCCTTGGTTGTGGATTTTTAAAATATTATTATGAAATTCCTGCCAGTCAATGCTGTGTAGTGTCTGAGATCTGAAAAACACCTTGTGGCCAGCGGTCTTTGCCTGTAGATCAATATTTGGGACATTTGTTACTAATATTTCCGCTGTGTGGGACTACCCCTTGAAGAATGCTTAAGAAAACTGACCTCTATTACTGAAAAAGTACACATCTAAGTATCTTCCCAGATCTTGGTCTGTGCCCAGGAGAAGAGTAAAAAAAAAAAAAATATATAAAAAAAAAAATTACATTAAATATATATACATGCTTCACAACCAGGGGGCGCTCATTGCTATTGTTATTTTACTTTTTTTTTTAAGTCGTGTCAGTACTTTTTGTCTTGAAGCGTAAAGCTTTGTTGCTTTCTGTGAAAATATACAAAAAAAAAAAAACAAAAAACCAAGAACAGAAATTCTGGCTACAACACTATCTCTAAGTTGTACATTTTTATTTTATTTTTATTCCACATTCCCCAGTTGGATATTCAACATACTTCTGGCTACTGTGGAATTAATCATTTTTAATTTGCATGTGACATGACTCACACTAACAATAAAATAATCTTTTTAAAAAAACCACTGCCTTACAGATGATCATTTAGTGACATAAAGGACGTTGCTCAGAAAATTCTGTGCACAATGTATGCGTTGATGGGCATTAAACAGATATCTGAACTGTCACACTGACCCAAACCTTTTATTCTCGCTTGCTGCTGTTTTAAACAAAGCCTCTCCTTTAAATACATATATACAGATCTATATATATGAAGAAACAAATAATAAAAGCTCACTACTTTAAAAGTTTGTATGTTGGTTTTTATTGTTTATTGAAAGACTGGATAGGGCATGAATATTATCAATAGTGTGTGATGCTGAATGAGCTGCAAAATCATGCAGAGCGTGATCTGATAAGAGATGACAGAGGATAATTGCTGAGAGTTGCTGAGTTCCACTGTAGGTGATTGATGAAGGGTGAGAGTAGATGGGCCGCAGTGGGTGGCTAATTGTAATAGAAGACCTAGATCAAGCTAAATAGCAGATTACGCAACCTTGTTAAAGGGAATTTTATATGTTAATTCAAAATGGAACAAGTCCTCTCACAAGGACATAGTGTACGTTTATACTCGTGTGGTCAAAAACACATCTTCAATATTTAACACTATAGTCACCTAAGTTACTTCAGCTAAATAAAGCAGTTTTAGTGTATAGATCATTCCCCTGCAATTTCACTGCTCAATTCACTGTCATTTAGGAGTTAAATCACTTTGTTTCTGTTTATGCAGCCCTAGCCACACCTCCCCTGGCTATGATTGACAGGGGAGGTGTGGCTTTAATAATTGTATCTCAATCTCTAAATTGAACTTTAAATCACATACAGGAGGCTCTTGCAGGGTCTAGCAAGCTATTAACATAGCCAGGGATAAGAAAATCTTAATTAAACAGAACTTGCAATAAAGAAAGCCTAAATAGGGCTCTCTTTACAGGAAGTGTTTATGGAAGGCTGTGCAAGTCACATGCAGGGAGGTGTGACTAGGGTTCATAAACAAAGGGATTTAACTCCTAAATGGCAGAGGATTGAGCAGTGAGGCTGCAGGGGCATGTTCTATACACCAAAACTGCTTCATTAAGCTAAAGTTGTTCAGGTGACTATAGTTTCCATTTAAGCTAATTCTCTGTATAAAATAGAACACACAGCTTTATTCATTAATCTGTAATGTATGCTGAATCAGACTTGCAAAAATTTAGGATGAAGTACCGGGTAATTGCAAAAAAAAAAAGATCTTCATTATGTCCAAGTTGGATATATTTTTATATATTTTTTTTTTTTTAAATGTAATTCTTTATTTTGAATAGCGTTTGTTTCAGACAATACAGTTTTTTCAATATAACATTTCAAAAGTATAAGCAAGAGTTACATATGACATGACCGGAAAAAAGCACCGTTTTATTTTATTTTCTCTGGCCTTATTTGCCCTGAACTACCGTGTGGAGCATCAATTGAATGTGGGAAACAGTGAGGATGTTCAGGTGGCTTTGGGGGATTTTAACTTCTATGTGCTAAGGGGGTAATTCAGGTGTATTTCACGTAGTGTGGCGGTTTGCTAGAGGGAGTATGACCTGCTACTACTTATAGTGTGGTTTGGTTTTATGTGTCGCTGGGTTGCGGGAGGTGGCTGGTGCTTGCGCGAGTGGTGGTGTCCATCAGGTCTGTCTGCGTAAGTGTTACCCCTTAACCGACGCATGCAGGGGTGGGGGGGTTCTCTTAATTGTAACAGTGTGAGCTACTGGGCCGCTATAACCTACAGAACAGATAGATAAACCGTGTTAAAAACAAATGAAAGTTGTAGGCAGCAGGTAATAACGTGAACCATGGCTTGATCCCGTGACTTTGTGTCAGCTGGGTCAGTGGGCTCCAGTCAGATCTGTCCGATAGTCAAGTCCCTGTTGATGAGAGGCTCCCGGGCCCTGGCACGAAAGGAACCCCCATATCAGGATTCCATAGTTTGGTTGTGGTACTTCCAGAGGTGCTGAGGTCAGGTGCCTCTGTATCCAGAGCCGCGTAGAGTGTAGGCGCCTCCGTGAGTGTGTGGACAGTTCCGTTCTGGGTAACCAGTATGGTGCCCTGCATTCCCCAGCGGAAAGGCCCTCCTCTGGACCCGAAGTGAGTCATGATGGGGCCCAAATTTCTGTGCCACTGCAGCGTTGCCCTAGCTAGGTCTTGAAAGAAATTTAATGAGGAGTCCTCAAACTGTAGTGGGGTTTTGCCCCATACTGCTGCCATAATACGACCTTTGCCGGTACAGGTGCAGCGGATGATCACATCCCGTGGCTCAGAGGTGGAAGGTTTAGCCATGCTGGTGATTCGGAAGACGCCATCCAGTATAACTTTTTTTTGGCCGCCGCTGGCGGGAGTATAGCGTCTAATAGCCTCCGAGTGTAATGCGAGAATTCGTTTGCTCCCACCGCGACTGGTATGCCCTGGATTTTAATACTGTTCCGCCGTAGTTGGTCTTCCAGGGTTGTCAGCCGCTGACAGTGTTTGGTGGTGAGCATTGAGCTACTGTACTGGGCCTTTTAGGTTAGACACCTCGGTTTGGACGTCCAGGATGTCTTCCTCCATTGCCTTTATCCTGTGTTAGCTTGAATTTCTGTGCGTACACGTGCGAGGTAGGCCACCATCATTTTATGAAGGTCTGCAAGGAGTAGTTAAAGGTCCCCTTTAGTAGTTAGGGCCGAGCTATCTGCCTGCTGTAAGCTTTGGCTCATTTTGGGTGGCGAGGAGTGTCTCTAGGTCTCATGGCGTCGGGTGGTGGTAGGTCCCAAATTTGCGCCTCTGTTTCTTTTGCCTCGGGGTGTACTGAAAGGGCATCGATCGATCTGGTAAGGTGCCCTGTATGCAGATTTCAGGGTTTAGGAGCTTGATGCCATGCTTGAAGGTGGAAATTGGTAGGCTCGTGAGAAGCTCAAAGAAATGGCAACTGTTCTGGTTCATGCGTTAGCTACTCCCCCCAAGTTGGATTATTTTTTTCCAAATCCACTATGTAAGTTAGTGCTTCAATAATTATTTTTTTGTGTATATTTATACACTCTAAATATATATATATATATATATATATATATATATATATATATATATATATATATATATATATATATATTATGTGCTTAAGATAGTACAGTGTGAAATACCATGAATAAGCGTAGGATGGTAAAAGGAGCAAGTCGGGTGTGGTGTGCCGAAACCGACGATGAGGTAGGCCTGAGAAAGAAGAGGGCCCACCCAGGAAAAGAAATAGAAAGGAAATAAATGTTAAAAGTGGTGTGGTGGGAGGGTCATTCAACGCTGACCTCGAACGGTAAGGAGCCAGGCAAGGGGAGTGCCTTAAGTAGGCTAGGGGTAGAAAACCAGCACCTCCCACAAATGCAGGCAAATTGCCTTAATACTTGTGTTAGGTGCTTAAGATAGTACAGTGTGAAATACCATGAATAAGCGTAGGATGATATAAGGAGCAAGTCGGTTGTGGTGTGCCGAAACCGACGATGAGGTAGGCCTGAGAAAGAAGAGGGCAAAAATTAAGTAATCCAATTTATTAACAGACAACCAATACATATACATTTATCAACCAGACATGTTTATGAAAGCATCTCTTAACTTTTGTACTGGGTTCGGTATGTACCGTGAGTAAGCGGATGACTTCCAGCGCCCCAGTGTTTTGATAACATGAGTTGGGACGTTGAAACTGGAGGCTGTGGACGCGGCTCCTATACGAAAGGAGTGTCCTGAGTAATTGTTTGCGTTGAGGCCCAGCTGTGTGAGCAAGGACCTGACGTAGGTCATGAAGGTTGTAGTGGTGAGTACTGCACCTTGTAGTTGTAATAACGGTTGCGAGGGCAGTAAGTGATGGTGCTGTATGTAGGCATCAAGAACTTTTACGGGACACCAACTGTTGTGCGTGGGGTAGTACGGTATGTTTACGGGTATGTGTTGACTGGTTTTGGAGTGAGGTAAAGTCAGGATGTAATGATCCATATGTTTTGTCAAGTGGGAATAGAGGAGGAACGGAGTAGTTTGATTCGTGGAGGTTGTAGTGAATTCTATAGGTCTTAGAAATCCATAGAAAGCGATGTATATTGCTGCTTTGATGACAGAATTTTGTATTGGTGTCAAATGGTTTTAAGTCAAGCAGGTTAGACAATGCTTTGAAGATATGGTTATCTATGGGTTGTATGTGTGAGTTCTGATTTCTGAATACCTCTGATTATGGTCTTAATTTGGTGAGAGGCCATGAAACTGTTGTTATTTGGGTGTAAGATTAGCATGTGGTGTTGAATGCCAGTGAGATAGAGTTTGATGGTGTTATATGACAGTTTAAGTTTAAGGTGGCAAAAGGAAGCAAGCCCCAAAAAAGATGTCATAACAAATGGTTGCATGATGTTATGTTCCAAATGGAATCGTTTGAATAGTGTGAAACTTGTATATTTTGTGTGTATTGTTTGAAAGTGCCAGTTGGGACAATGTCCTGCTATGCTGCATGATGGTGTCTAGTCCAGTATGAGTTGTTGAAATGTTAGAGTGATGGTGGATGTGGGCGCAGCTGACGGGAGTGCTTGATGAAACTCCTGAAATTTAAAGCGAGACAAATTGTCAGCAGCTGTGTTACATACACCTGGAACATGGAAACAACATAGGAAAAAATTATGACAAGCTGCCATCCAGGTGAGTTTCCTCAGAAATCTCATGATCGTAAGGGATTTGGAACGCCCTTTGTTGATGATGTGACAGGTTGCCTGGTTGTCTGAGTAACAACACAGTGGCATATTAGCCCATAAATGACCCCATGCTACGGCAGCCGCCACAATGGGCTAGATCTCAAAAAGAGCTGAGGTAGTGGAAAAACCTTCCAAATCCTGAACTGCTGAAGGCCAGCTGCCCCAAAGCCATTCGTTCCCAAAAATTGCTGCAAAACCAGTGGTTGATGCCGCATCTGACCAAATGGTAGGAGATGAGTCAGTCAATTGAGGGAGGAACATACTTTTACCATTCCAAGTGGTTAAAAATCTCTTCCACATGTTTAGATCTGCCGTAGCTTGGGTATCTAAGGACAACCTGTGCGTGTCATGTAGGAAAAGTGGGAAAAGATGCAATAGTCGTGAAATAAAGGAGCGGCCTTGAGGTATGATGCACATAGCAAAATTTAGTGACCCTAGCAGGGACTGTAGCTCTTTGCGGTTGCAAGTGCCGAGCTGTAGGTAGTTGTTTATGTAAGTGAGAATATTGTCTATCTTTTCGTAAGGTAGGCTTG